CAATGTCGACACTTGGCGTTTGAAAAAAAAGAACAACAAAAACAAAAAAACAAAAATTAGAATCTCCACTTTAGCGTACTCGACGTTATCCGTCTTTCTGACAGATCTCATTGAGAGAGAAGCGTGAGAGATCTTAGCGCATCTGCTTATTCTCTCATAAAGAGGACGCGGGTCGGAACGATTTGCGAGGGAGACGAGAATAAAATCGAGCGACGAGAGGGCGGCGAGCGGGAAGATTGCGCGCGCAGTCACAATCGCAGTCAAAATTCACCCTTGGCTCGTGCCGTTGGCTGCGGGAGCAACATCGGAGTACCGAGAGAGAGATATATTAGTTTCCTGGTGCACGTCACCCGCGCTTTTCATTCGCACGCTCGTCGATCTCGTTCGCGGGGATTCACTTATTTCTCGTCGCTCGTCGCTTCCGGATCGCAGGAGAGAATCGCTCTCCTTCTCTCTCTTTCTTTTCATCGTATCCTCGAGTTTCTCGGCAACTGCCAACAGCGGATATCATCTTTTGCGCGCATACCATGCAGGTCGCCGCAGTTTTTTAGCATTGGCCCAGAGGACGGAGAACGCGAGCATCGGTGAGTACACGTCAAACGTCAACGGCATTATCGGAGTACATACAGGATAGCGTGGGATGTCGAGGGACGATGTATCGCACGCTACATGGAAATGTATGCGAGCTTTACGGAACCTTCCTGCGCCGCGGATCAATAACAGCCGTTGCGTATGATAACACAACCAGCTGATCGCCTGTGATATTGAATGTATTTACGTGCGTTCGCGCGTCGCGCGCACGAATCGCTACTTTTTGTACCTCTCAGGTACATACATGATAATAAAATACGCACAATGTTTCTTCTATGCGGGATATATAGCGTATACGACTCGATGCCTAAGACATTAGAGCCTATTGTTTATTTGCTCCGAAATTTTATGACAATTGCATGAAAGAACAAGTATTAGATTATGTATGTGGATATTTAATTTGTGAACAATGTGATAGACTTTGCTTACGTACTTGGTATATAAAATATACATGTATATTATAGATTTTTTCTTTTATAAAATACGCGTTCATAGAACCGTGAAAAATATCCGCAGTGACGACAAAACCGCACGATACAACTATATTTCATAATCTATTATCTATTATATCGAGTAACAATATCCAGATATAAAATTTAATTTGGAATGTCTTCTAAACAAGATATCAAGTTATCGAGCATACTTTATTTTCGAATTACACGATCGTTTTAATATGTGTCACACAATGTGTTTGATGTCTTATCTTTGTCAATAATTTGATTGATTTACAAAAAGAGCTGGTATTCTGTCAAACTATAGAATTATATACAGCTGTTGGCACAAAATTGATATTTTTGACAGAATTGTGATTAACAGTATCCTCATTGTTATTTTATTGTTAATTGTAGATTTACAATAGATTAGAAATTTGTTAATTTGTTATTCATTAAATCAAACAATATTACAGTTATCGATCAGGATTATCTGATTTCTTAATTAACTTAATCACTGTGTGACTCGATTGCAATTTTGCTTCTTGAAATATATGAGGAAGTTATATTTGTGTGTGAACAAGATTGTTTTCATATTGACAGTCTATTTATCGTAATGACACTAATAAATATGAACCCTTAGATAAATCAGGTTTATTATAATCGTGTGAAATTTTGATTTGATATACGACATGTATTTATATGCAATTAATGCAGAAGAATGTTGAAAGATATTTTCTTGAGTGAGAGATTATTTTTTTCACGAGTGTGAATATTCGTATATCGATTCTATCGATATCTCATTCTCGAAAGAGTATTTATGAAATCGTTATCGACAATGCAAACACTCAGTGCACATGCTTCAGTATCATCCTATAAGTTAAAGCAAGCAAATAATTTTAAGATTATACGTTCACAAGTGTCAGTGCACGCACATATCTCACTTTTTGGCTTGTGTCTGTATTTTCGAAAGTAAACAAAAGATATTAAAAAACTGTGACATATCCTATTTTGATTAATTTTAGTTTTAATCCCTAGAGGGTTGAAAGGTTTAAAAATTTATTTCACAAATATTTACTAGAGATCGTTTACGATAAGAGCAAATCGTATAGTTTTGATAATATTGTTTCAAATATTTTTTTCTTTTTTTTTTTTAATAAATGGCCCTTTTTGAGTGTTGAGATCTGAAGAATTAATTTTCACACAAGATCGATCACACATTTAAATATAATAAAATATAAAAACAGGAATAAAGTCAATCTAAAAATTTAAAAAATTAAACGTAACATTATCCGAAAAAAATACTTTATTATTATTGTTATTTAGTTTATTTAATTTGTCAAAAAAAGTCGCGTGAATAAAACTTTTGAATTTTTAAGAAACTTTTGAATTTTTAATAAACTCTTAAGAATTTTAGATATAAATGAATTTGACACATAAATAATAGCAGTGAATGTATAAAATATGAGCTTTTGACGAGATTAAATTAATTGGCTCAAGTTTGATAAAATACTCGCTGAGACGTTCGTTTAGGAAATTTGATCCTTTTTTTCTACATATTCATACAGAACATTGCAGCTACATTGTAATGTTGCAAATTACAATCGTAAAATATATATTTTCTTAAAAAATATTTTATTTTAAATTTATAAGTAATACATTTCTCGCTTTATTTATCATTTATTATCTCTGTCGTTCATAGAACTAATTATGATTTATCAATGTGAAATTGAAATGATGTATGATATATGATAGAGAGAAGTAAATACTTTATTTTTCTTTAGCGATACGTTACAGTTTGAATAACACTGGATTAAAAGAATTAAAAAAGAAGAGATTCGTAGAAGCTGCGTTAATCTAACATGCGTTTTAAGCAGTAATAGATAAGGACACAATGTATACGTGCAGAAGATGAGTAATATAATCGCATGCATATACATACATGTAATATATATATATATATATATACATTCAGCAATTCCTTTATTGCAATCTAGGTATTGTGTTTAATTGATCGAGGCATCTTTCGCGTGATAAATGTCTTGTTTGCCGCTCATTGTTTCTGTCGATTCGTGACACTATTTGTTCATTTATCAATGTGATTAAAATGATGTGCAGTGTGTAACAGATAAGCAAAGATGTACTTACTATTCTCTAGTTCGCTTGTCATCTGTCGTGCAAGCGCTTTAATAACACTTGAATAAAATCATTTTAATGACAAGACATTTTGCGGTTTTGATCCATCGATGGAAAATTATGAAACGTATAAATCCTGACGTAAAGATTAATTAGTATTAATAGATAGCTTGGTCGGGGATTCCTTCGAAGGAAGGTATCCTCCTCTTATTATTCGCCAATCCTACGTGGTAATTGTTCTGTTTGTCTTTTTTGCCTCATTAAGTGTTCTATTCAGAAATCTGCGTTTTCCGGGATTATATGAGCGTAAAAATCTTGTAATCATACGATTTACATAAATCCATATTATATTTAATTCACTTCTTAAGTGCATCGGGCTTTTCCATGTAATTAGCATTGTTCTCCGCTCCTTGTTCAATTTTATTACATTTCACGATATACATTTCGATATGAAACCCATGATAAAATCATAATAGAAATGAAAATATTTTTCTATCAAGTAAGATTCAACATAATTGATGAGACATAAACTGTCTTTCTTTAATAGATTAATAATCCGAGATAATTAATTAAATAATTTGACAAAAAAAACATAAAATGAGATATATCGAGTTTTATTAAACTTATCTTTCGCACTATTCATTTTTATGATATAGGTACTTCCTTCATATCGAAGATTGAATTTTGTGTTGCACATATTTCTATTATACGATTAGCTAATCTTTCTATTATACAATTTTATTATCGTATAAAAGGTGATATCTACTACATTGTAGAATTATTATAGAAAAAAATAATGATAGATAATTTACTTTGCAACCTAAATGATATCGTCATTCAGAAAGTAATCCGCGATGTCGCTCTTATATAAGACGATGACGAAAATTTTTGCAATTACTTGCGGTTACGATTTTCAATTGTACAGACGAGAAATATAATTTCAACGTTACTTTACTAAATAATAAAAACTTGGCTACAATTATATAATTATATAAAATATAGAATAAGCAGCATGAAACAGAGATGAGAAAAAAACTCCCGTTTCTGTTATCTATACGACTTGGATGATAAGCTTCTATACATAAAGCTATGTAGTTATTCGCCACGTAGCAAGACTGAAAAAATGCTATAAAGAGTGCAAAAGAAGCATTTTTTACGTACATGCTTTTTCATCGCTCTCTACAAATAGTATGATTACACAACAATTTCTATAATAGTGCCATTTTATATATCAGTACAACATCATGTGAGGCGCTCTCTTTTCATTTAATTCTAGAAATTGTAGCTTTGATCTTTATCCTTTATAGCTTATCAAACATATAATTAATTTTTTATAATGTTTGAAATATATCTGATACATATATTTGAAATATTTCTGATTCATGAAACTATTTAAATATTTTAAATATAGAATTTATATTAAAATATAAATAAATTATTATCCCTTTTGTATATATTAATCTGTACATTAGCAGGGTAGAAACAATTTACATAAATATATTTATGTTCTCTTTCTCTCTCTCTCTCTCTCTCTCTCTCTCTCTCTCTCTCTCTCTTCCAAATATGTATAATTCAGCAACTAAACATGTAGTGCGAGATTTTAAATCTTTTCGGAACAGGATTACATGAGATGGAAGAAAATGGGCAAATCAACGATCAGAGGATGTTTAATTAAGCGAATGACGTTCTTCTTGATAATCACTGTCTTGACATCGCACGGCTCTCGAGTTCTCGACAACGCGTCGCGGTGGTGGCTTTAAGATCTGAACACATAGTGACGTCATGACGAAACGCGTTCGAAGCCAATGGTCATATGTATCAACGAGAACGAGTACCGCAGCTATCAGTATTAGCGCGGTCATCTTCCAACGCCGATCGCGCGCGCGGCAAATCGCTCGTAACTGGATGAAAGGCCCTCTTTGATATTCGTGAGAGAGACACAATGTTTCGTGAACACGTAACGATGGATCAAATTTACTCGCGACGACCCATATCAGCCACGAGTATCGCTGATCGCGACGACTTTTAGGGGAAGAATCGAAGAGTCGCGACGTGTCGATCAAAGTCGGACATTCGCGTCCATGTTTTTTTTTTCCTCTTCTTTAAGTTTGCGACCAACGAAGAGAGGGAGGGACATCAAGTCATCGTTATCGGTGGCAACGCGTGACAACGCGTTACGTTTCCCTCACAAACGATGAGATTTCGCGGGATCTGGAGACGCCGCTTCGCGAACGCGGGTGTTCGACCTCGTGCAAAGGCCAAGCGGTAGCGCGCGAACGAGCCGGGTGCTCTCTCTCTCTCTCTCTTTCTCTCTCATCTTCGATTTATTAGTGCGACTCGTGCACGTCGGGAACCGATTCAACCGATTGCTGCCTCGTTGGTGAAACGAATCTTCGATAACAACCGATTTACCACCGTCTATCATGGTTCGTTGACTCCATCTTGCATTGTATCGAGTGAGAGAAGCGCGAATCGAGGAGACCGAATCGCCGATTCTAAAATTAATTTTCGGTTATTTTATTTATATCTCTAGCGCGTATCGAGATAGATATTTGTGTCGTGTGTGTTAAGTTCAAGATCGCATGTATGTCGATATTAATATTTTAAATCGAACGAAGGGAGTGTGCGAAAAGGAAATACATCGAATTCCAATAATGTCAAGGGTTATCGAAGCTTTTAATTATTCGTTAATCATTTGTCGCGTAAAGTTTCCCTAAAATATTTCACATTAAATATCTTGTGTTATTTTTATCTTCTCAGTTTATAAATTATGAGATTTCATATGCGTCGCGTATCAACAACCACCATTGTTTCGTGAAACTGCTTATTTGTTATCAATACGAACCCGAAGATTCGTGACAAAAAATGTTATATATATAAATCGTTCAAACGTAGTCAAAGCGAAACGTAAAGTCAGTACAACGTACGATACATCGTCCTCAATAAATGATAAACGATAAAAGTGTCCGAGATAATATAATACGAAGATGCATTTATAAATGTACGACCATAGAAGAGATATTAATGCTCTAATTATACGTCATGTCGATTCCACAACATTCGATATTTACGTACAAAGATAGATGTTAATTCAAAATAATTTTATTAACTGTTTGAGCGACTTTCGAAAACACGTAATAAGTTTTGCAGTTTAATGAGCACAAATTAATACTAGTTCTTTTACATAATTTTCGCATATCTTTCTTCTTGAAAAAAAAGAACTGGCTATAATTGCATAGTAAAAATTTTTTTTATTCTTATAGATATTATTAATTTAGATATATTAATATTGGTGACAATACTATAATATTGATATCCTTATTAGAATAATTATATTGCATAATATTGCATAATTTTATTTGCGCTCCAAAAGTGTAATTATATATAATTTGTGATGCTTACAACATATAATATATAAAGGCATATATAACTTATGATAATTACATTTTTCTACTAGTATTATTACGTATATTACTTATTATATACCTTTTTTTACTTTTCGATTTTCTTGTCAAACAGTTATTAGAGGGGTTCACGATTATACTTTTTTTTGATATTTGAAGTCATATATTATAATAATATCAAACAAGTAATTACTATAAATACAGTAATTTTTAGTTCTAACTATAAAGTTAAAATTATTACTACTACGCACAAAATTATTATTATCAACATTATAGTAGTATAAAAAAATAAAAAATTCAACTATAATTTTTTTTACTATGCAATTATAATTGGCCCTTTTTAGTGTACATTTACCGAAAAGAAGAAAAGTTAGAAAACTAGTTTCTAACTCGTACTAGTTTTCTAAGATATCATTATTAATGCGAGAACAATTGATGTTTTACGTGGATAGGCTCATTATCATAATTCTAAATTTGTTTTTCTTGTTAACTTATCGATAACAATTGTCGAAGATATAGTTTTCTAGGAGGGTTTTCAAATGTTATTCTATTGACGTTGACCGATAAACCAAGTGGCGGAACACGATGCGCTTTTAACGCTTTTCAACGCGACGATAAATCTCTAGAAATTGATTAATTTTCACAGTTGTTTGATGTGTATGCCTTTCGAGGAATTATTCGTATAATTTGTTTTCGGTTGAAGCTGTGATAAAAATAGAAAACGAATGAAATACGCAACTGCATATTATAATATATGACGAAACCGATAGAATCGTAGCATATTAATGCGCCAACATTAATGCGGAAAAAAGGTATAGTATGAACGCCTAGCTGGGTTGAATTTAGACCGTGAACATGCCCGATTTGCCATCGTTTATCGGGCAGAAAGCCAGAATTGCGCAAAATTTTCTCGGCCAAAGGCGCCTTTTCGTCTTTGTAGCCGGATAAGAATGGGAGTAAACACCCGTTTCTTCGCAAAAATCGTTTCAGATTTTTACATTTTTTTAAATAACAAACACGCAGTTTGATTAATAAATAACAATTGAAATCGTAATATACGGTCATTTTGCATTCGATAGGTAATCGATTATATCGTGTTATACACGTGGCGCAAAACGACGCTAATTTTATCAACTGCTTGCGTTATAAAAATTATTTTCTTTAGGTATATATGTGTGTGTATGAAGAAAAGGGAGAAGAGAGTTTATTTTCTATATTTATTCCATCAATAAGCAACTTCCACATAGATTAAAATTACAATCATTTTTTATTTGATTTTATTTATTTATTAACGTTATCAATATATATCAAAGTATTTGCGTTTATCGCAAAATGCAGCTTAATCTTTAACAGTTTCGTTCACTTTTCTGCCGAGTTCTCTGGATTTCGCGTATTTACTCGCGACACACGTTTGCGTGGTGAAGTTGCACATAAAAAGTTAAATAGCCGTCTTCCTCCGAGTTAAGTAATCCGACAAGATCTAGGTCAACGTTAAATCTACGTTTAGTTTTGACAAACCCTGAGAATAGAATAAATCGCAAAAGCTGACGAATGTCTATAACTCGGCGAGGTAAACTTTATAACGTATAATCAATTGTAGCTGTAGTATCACAACATGCAAATTTATCAAGATTGATTTAATGGATTGATTTAGTAGAAATTAAAATATATTTGCTTGATAAAATATATTTCGTACTTGATAGTTATATTCATTTCAAATCTAAAAATTAAAAAAAGAGAATTAGACTTTCCCGACATAAATTCCCGAAATGATGGGCGATTTTCTGATGAATAATTGAACACTTGGCGACGTCAAACGTTATTTAAAGTATCGCGATAAACCGGATAAACCGCGCTCATCAAATTCTATGACGCGTCGCATCGCGTCGCGTCAAATCGATACCTTTAACACGACTATATTCGTGCTGAAATTTTACTTCACCTGATAATTTCGGACAACTTTGAGGACGAATTGCCAGACAGATGGTGCAGCAGAGACGGAAGGTACGGGTAGGAAAGGTAGTGGATCGCACGATACACGCGCGATCATCGTGGCCACCGTTAAATCCTTAAATTGATAGCAACTCATACACAATGAGCTTCATTTATAATCGCTGACTCTAACTCGAGAGCTACTTCGGTCGGTTACGAAATGCCAGAAGCGAATCATGTCGAGTCGAGTGTCTTTGCCAAACATCGAACTTGGGATGTCTAATAATGCCCGAGAATGTTGCTTTAGCGAGTAAATATAGCCAAGCCGAGGCATTCTTTTTCCGCGGCTATGTGCGTCACTTTGATCGTATTATTACCGCGCGTTTAAGTCACGATGCGATGTATCTTTGAGAGATTCGATTTAAGGGATATCGAGAAAAAGGGATATAAAAAGAGAGCGAGAAAAAGGGATATAAAAAGAGGACGCAATGAGAGCTGGGGATCATCTTTAGAAAAAATAGATGTGCTCTAAGATTTTTGCGTAACGCATTTCTTTGCTGATAAAAATTTACAGTCATCGCAAACAGTATACAAACACTGTTTATATTATTGTTTTTTTTATTAATTATTGTTTTTTATTAATTATAATTTTTACTATTAGGAAAATTCAATTGCACATATCTTTCCTGTACTAATTTATCACTAATAACTGATCCTTTGTTGTAGAATACAACGCGAGAACAGTACGTTTCGCCGCATGGGTGCCTGGGTTGACGATCGTTTCGTGGTGGAGGAGGTGGTTCCTAGTAATCAAAGTACTACTTGGACTTGGAGAATCCGGAGTCGCGATTGCAATGGTGGTGGACCGTTGCATGGTCGATCGGGTGCCGACTATCAATCGCCAAACAATTTTACGTCGATCTGGTCGTCAGCATCCCTGTTGCCGTTGCGCCGTCAGTTCACCAGGCAGCTCTATGAGTGGCCTTGTTTACCGTTGTTTAAGTCAAGGACGAAACTAGACCTTTATTAAATCGATTATCGAGAACAAGAGCCGCCCGAGGAGCGTTTGTTTGCAAATACAGATATAGTCCAAGTTTTTTTTGTTATCACATTCGATTGTTTGCATGTGTGTGTTTGCGTGCACGTTTGCGTACTGGGATTGGTATCACGGAGAGAGAGATTGGATCACCTGAAAGTTTTACTTTTCGAAGGTGAATTCCGAAAGTACCAATCACATTCTTCGTCTCTTCAATATGGCCGAGTGGACCAAGTTCAACGATCAAAAAAAGTTAAATCGACCCGATGAACAAGTGAATAAGGACGATACAATCGTAAAGCAATCGTACACCGAAATAAATGACAATGAGATTATCAACGAAAATTTATGCCTGACAAAAGATCGAAACGTTTGTGATCATGAATCGATCGGGGAGACAATCACGGATTCGAGTTTGATTCAGGAGTACGTCAACGACTTTCGGAATAATGCGGAATTGCTGGAAGGCTCATTAAACCAGGAAAAAGAAGAAGAAAGATTCGTAGAAGACAATCATCATGAACGAATGCGGGAATCAGGCTCGAAGATACGTCGGGAAGCTTGTCAGGAATTTAAAGAAATCTTGCAAAATTCGCAAAACTCGCTGAAGAGACCCAATAGTCTTTACAAAGAAGATGTGTTGAGTCCACAGAAGTTGAAAAGCGTTTACAACGAGAGAAGTACAATTTTTGGTTCGCCTACCAGGATTCTATCATCCAAGGGTCACTTGTCGGCTGAGAACAGCACTGAGAAGCTTGCAAATGGAAAATTTCCTAAAGAGGACAAGCAGCAGCATCATGTGCAATTTAACAAAGAATCCAAGAAGCAACAGCCACGTCACGCATCCGAAGAAAGACCGCACTCGACTCCGTCGATCTCTGCGTCGAGCAGTTTCGAAGATAATTCGAGCTTAGCGCAGTTTTGCGAAGCAAGACCACCCGACGGAGGCTGGGGATGGGTTGTCGTTGCGGCCTCCTTCATGGTAAATCTGATCGCGGACGGCATTACCTTCTCCTTTGGCGTAATATACGTCGAGTTCCTGAATTATTTTGGCGGCGGAAAATCCAAGACAGCCTGGATCGGTAGTCTCTTCATGGCGATGCCACTATTGTCGGGACCAGTGGCAAGTTTCTTGACTGACAGATACGGTTGTAGAAGGGTAACTGTAGCAGGTAGCATATTGGCGACAGCTGGTTTTGTTGTCAGTTCCTATGCGAACTCAATGGAAGTACTCATTCTCACGTTTGGGATCGTAGCAGGTTTCGGTTTGTCCTTGTGCTTTGTCGCAGCGGTAGTAATCGTGGCGTACTACTTCGACAAAAAGAGATCTTTCGCTACCGGCTTATCAGTATGCGGCAGTGGAATTGGGACTTTCATTTTCGCGCCTGTCACGCAGTATCTCTTAGCGGAGTACGGCTGGAGAGGAACTACGTTGATACTTGCAGGATTATTTTCGAATCTCGCCGTATGTGGATGTCTTATGCGGGATCTTGAATGGACTACTATTAAAGCGAAAGCGAAGACCGAGGAGAGAAGAAAAAATCGGGAGAAAAAGAGGTCCAAGATGCAGAGTTCCAACGCAGATTCTTTTTCAGCTACCAGTTCCGCAAATACGACCACACAAACGCCTCACGGCGATTCTAAAAGAGGCTTCGCATCGGCCAACGCGATGATTATCGAGAATCTTCGGCTTCAGGACGGCGACGAGGAGAGCGGTGAAAAACTCTTCTCCAGCTTGGTAAGTCTGCCTACCTTCGTTAAAAATAGGGAGAAGGTACCTGTAGAAGTGCTGGAGCTACTTAGCGCGAACAAGGCTGTTTACAACGTCCTCCTGCAAAACTATCCGAGTCTTTTGATATCGTCGAAGAGTTTCAGCGATTCAGGAGCGCTGCACGATCAATTAAGTACACCCTCGGCTCGATTTATACCTACGCCGAGTCCATTAGCCGAGGTAAAAATCGAGACCGATAAAGACAGAGATATGCGCGAAGAAAACGACGAACAAATATTCCGCGGTGAGCAACAGCAACAATCGGTAGAACCGGCGTACTTATGGTGGCTGAAGAAAATCGATTCCGATACTCCGTTGAGGCGTTCCAGCACGCTGGAACAACCGAAGAGACTGCCCACCGCGTATTTGAATGATATCAGAATGCACAGGCATAGTCTGACTTACAGAGGCGCCATGCTGAACATCAATCGGTATCGTTTGAGAGCCTCGAGCTGCCCGGACATTTATAGAAACTCGATGACCACCATTGCCAAGACGAAGCTCGTCTGGTACGCTGGACTCTGGGAATTCTGGGACTTGATCGTCGACATGCTCGACTTTTCATATTTCGCCGATCCGAGATTTCTGCTGTTCGCTGTCAGCAATTTTCTCTTGCACACGTGGTATGACGTGCCTTATGTCTATCTGACGGATAACGCGATCGAGGTTGGATTCAGCGAGACGGATGCATCTATTCTGATCTCGGTGATTGGAATCGCTAACATGGGTGGCGAGGTAAGTCGAAGGGAACAAAAGAGCTAAATAAATCAAACTTCGATCCGGTAGCCGTTAGTCAAAGTGGAACTTTTTATTCCAGATTTTTCTAGGCTGGGCCGGTGATAGAGCATGGGTGAACGCGTCTATCGTTTATGCGGTGTGTATGGCTCTCTGTGGCGGCGTTACCGCTCTAATACCCGTAGTTGTCAACGATTACTATACCTTATGTGCAATCTCTGGTGCCTTTGGATTATTCATCGCAGCGAATTACAGTCTCACCAGCATCATCCTTGTCGAGCTGATCACTTTGGAGAGATTCACGAATGCTTACGGCCTTCTGTTACTGGTCCAAGGAATAGCCAATCTTATGGGTCCTCCGTTAGCTGGTAAACCTTTCGCAGATTTTTTTTTTATATATTAGAAACACATCGAGCGAATACTAAAAGTGAATGATTTTTTCAGGATGGCTGTACGATATTACAGGCACGTACGATCTTTCCTTCTATTTGGCAGGATTATTCATTGCATTAAGCGGCGCGTTGTTATTAGTGATGCCTTTGATCAGCTTGTACAGAAAATGCCGGGGAAATGAATCCGAGGAGGGGACCGTCGACAAGGATTTTAACGAGATAGATAATGTATAGATATGCCGATATCGAAAGAACAAGCCAGAGACGAGCAATCATTGTCTGCGATTACTATTGCGCGACTGAAATCGCGATATCACAATGGAATTGTAACGCGACTTGCAAAAATTATACTCCTTAATTCCGTAGTAGTGTCTGAATCCGCGATATATTGCACGAGAATCGCTCGAGCCGGCTGTGGTGTATCACAATAGTTATAAGTTTGTGTCGAAATGTCCTTTGCGTCATTGACGACTAATGCAGACAAGTAATGCGAGCGATTCGAAAAGTATTATATAAAGTGAATCACACATGTAGCAACTCGTGTATTATCAACGGATTCCGATTCTGCGTGGCTATCAGCGGATGATACTTCGCTGCTAAACTTTCGCGAAGGTTACCAGGTCACTTCTAATCTCCTAGACATTGCGTAAAGGAAATTATTTCGAGAGTGAGTATAGTTTGAATATTTTCAATAGCGTAGAGAGTGATATTACGCGATATAGAGTAATACATTGTACAAATTAGGGGAACGCGCTGCTCGTGATAAATATAAAGGGCCTGCGAAGAGAGAAAAGATTCGTTGTAAACTATTATCGCGTTGTCGTCGATAATTTGCCGAAATAGATTTACATTCTTGGCACTGCAACAACTAAGTATAATTTCGAATCTCAGGATATACTAGTAACAATTGATACGTATACAAAGGTTTGAAATCGACACATCTGGTGTGCTCTCTCTCTCTCGTTTGCGTACAGAAAAATGCGAATTTTAATGCAGCATGCTTGTAATTGCTACTCCCTCATTAAGTGCGTTGCATATTTTCAAGCTAGATTGTACAATTGACAAGTTATCCCCTCCCGCCCTCGGATAACGCGAAAGGGATTGTAAAATAATTACCGCACCAGATATTCTCGATCTTTGTAATCATCATCGTATAACGCATCCCTCGCATAGGTGCCTCACTTGTGCATTTAAATTATTAATTCACTTAAATTAAATGTTTAATTAATTTAAATTATAGGAGATTTGTGTCTAGTTTGATTCTCCAATCAGATAGAAATATTAATGTGTGCTTATAAGTTTTGTCAAGTAATCGCGAAATACCCGGATTATAAGTCGTGAGTCCAACGCAGAAGGAAAATATCTCGCACAAGTTTATTTCTTTTGTTTTTTTCCTAATTCCTCTGATTGAATGTAATCGGGCCGCAATTTGATTAAATCAATTTTTTGCGGATATTCCTATTTTTTGAAATAAGCGAGGAGACAAGATACAAACGGTTAATCGGAAAATAACACCGAAAGATTTGATAACAAATTTTTTCATTTTCGTGTGATGCACGAATTTCGTTTGAAATAATATATGTCTATAAAATAGGCATGGGTATATAGCTTTTCTGTGATCATAAACTTGCCTCTTTATCAATTTTGCGAGCTACAAATAGACTACTACCTCCGTTACCATAGTGTATGCGTACGTACATGCGTGCATGTGTTAATTCTTTTTTGGTTTTTATAAAATGTATAATCTATACTTGAACTTATAGATTACACGCGATTTTTTTCTTCCTTTTCTCTTTTTTTATTAAAAAAAGGAAACGAGTAATAGTCGTCATTGTAGCGAGATTTTTGATTGTATATATAATAACACGAACGAAAAGAATAATTGTAAATTTAATGCGAACAACATAATGAATTTATTGGAGAAAGAGGAATTTTTATTGCTCTCCGTGTATATATGGAAAGTTCTAAGCGAAATGTACATTACTTGACGATATTGAAATCGTGCCATGCATGAAAATTAACGTCAAATGAAATAGGTTTTTTAAAACTAGTCAAAATCGCACTACAATATTTTAGGTACTGTCGATTTCACAAAAATTTTATATTCCAAAGATTTCTCTTATACATATGCATAGTATATCGTCGTAGGAATACACGTACGTATAATATTATAATATATATATATATATATACGAGGCCTTTACACACTAAAACAAAATACGGAAAAACATTTATTGCTTTCAAATATTAAGAATTAAATCGATTAGATGGCAGGTGACTGACGGTGTGAAACGAGAGTTTCGGATATTTTTTATTAGTGCAGAGAGCGTAATAATAAAAAAATCTGGTATCCGAAAGTATAAGTAATCGCAACATCCCAGATCGGAATTTTGAATTTCGATTGAGCGTATTTTTTCGATTTTAGAAATACGATCGCGATTGGTGTCTTATATAATTGTGTCCCGGTGCCAAGTCCAAATTATATGAATATAATATTTATCATTTTTCTCGGCAGCATATATGCTCGCACATTATACATCACACGCGTACGCAGCCTTACATGGCATCTACGAAACGTATAAAGCAATATTTTAATATAAAAGAAGGAAAAAAATTGTGTATTTCATATATTTACGGTATCATGTCGCCGGCTTTGCGAGAGACTGACGACTTTCAACGGTAGTATTAAGCGATAGTTATTAAGATGAAGAAGAATGGGACGCAAATAATTTGTGAAAGAGCGAGAATCTGTAATAGAAGTATCAATCGAATCCCAGAGAGCGATTCCTTCCAATAAAAAAAAAAAAAGGAAAAAAAATGTAGCGAAGCACGAGAGAGTTTCAGCTGACGATGTAATCAGCATTCCACTTATATTAGGTGAGATTGCAAAAGTTCTTCTAGAATTTTGGCATTCTACGAATTTTCGAAGGATCTTAAAAATATTATCGATTACCAATTATATTTCCGACAATTTTAATCGCGTTAATTAGATCGTTACGATATCGATCTAGCGTGTCTCTATTATATGGAATTACCTTATATATTGGCGCAAACCATTTACGGATTTACGGATTTCAATGTTCTTGTTGACTCTTAAATATTGAAAGAACGAGTCTACGATTAGTCTTATACATATGTATACATAAATTCTTAGCCAACGCCGATTCCTAGAACGACGTGAATACGTCGATTCTGTTTCACGTAAATCCTCTCATGTATTGGAAAGTATCCGAAAATGATCCGAATAAATATCGTAGTGATTTCTCGACATTATTTACGGTTCATTTCGTGTTTCACGTGTAATTTAATATGCAAACTTTGTTATGTACACGCGCGCAATAGAAATTACTACGGAATACAGTAGAAATTTACAATAGAAATTGTACTAAACGGAAAGAAAAACAAGCGTGTTTTTTTTTTCTTTTAGATATAATGTCGGATTTTTCTCCTATTTGGCTTTCGCTCGTTGTTCCGATTCTGTATAAGAGAGAGAGTTCTACTTAATTTGCATTAAAATATTATAAATTTCAAGTGCGTTTGAATTTATTCACCGTAGACAACTGCATGCATATCGAATTACCGACTGATGACGAATTGTTATTGACATCGGGTGACATCGGGTAACGTCGGCTGACGTCGGATGGCGTCACATCGCATCGCATTGTGTTGACGCAAGATAATTTTATCGATCGGTTATTTATTTTCAGATATATTTTTGTGCACGCTCTCTTTCACTCTCTATCTTTCTCTCTCTCCGCGCGATAAAAAAAAAATCTCTTCGTTGTCATTGGACATCGACAAATTTTGTCAAAAGCGATATAAAGGTACGTGAATTATATACATATACAAATATATAAAAGGAAAAAAAGAATTTTCACGAATTTTCACTTGAATCTCACGAAAGATCGAGATTCCAAATTAAAAATCTGTCACGAATTACAATATTTTCCACTATTTATTTACACGTACGGTAATTATTGAAATTTATAAAAATGCGATAGGAATCTTTCCAATTATGATTATTTAATTTTTAAAATGTTATCATGTACTTTTTTCGTCAAAGAAAAACATTTGCCTGTTTAGTATCAAAATGCAGCTGATATCTATTATCCGATACATACATGTCATATGTATTATGTCATGTCATGTATAGCTGATTTATATCTGATGTATATGCTATATATATATATATATATATATATATATATATATATATATATATATATAACTGATATTAATCCTGCGCGGTTTTATCAAGTTATCAAAGTTTTCCTTAGTCAACAACGTGACATTTCGACGTCGCGAAAAACGATCGAGAGGAACGAGCCGAGGCGTTATGACACAACGGGGCGACGATGCAACGCGACGCAACGCAAGGTGAGGCAAGGTGAAGCGTGGTGGGGGGAATGTCGAGAAGGGGAGGCGAGACGGAATCGGGGCGACTAGACGTCGTAAGGGGCGCGGCGCGGTGAGACAGAGCCTGGCAAAAAGAGACGAGGCCGACTCCGACACGTGTGCTCCGTTCAAATCAGGTGCGGCATCGCGGACAGCCTTTCCTATGACGTGGATCCTGAGACTCCTGAACCGCGACCGCGCTCTCTCATCAGTGTACTGGGTGTCCCCAAGCGAGACGGCCGCGTGGTAGCTCACGTCACACGCGCGATTGGGAAAACGTGCCGAGGGCACGCGAATGCGCGAAATCGTCGTTGCAATAAGACGGCGCAAAACGCTCTTTCCAAGGAGGATCGTGCCAGGCTATAGGAAATCTCCGGATTCTCTGACAATTTGCGCGAGCTGCTCGTCGGTAAGCTCGATGAATAAATATAAACACGTTACAACCTTGAAGCACATGTTTCCCGCATGTCAATTTATCTTCTCTTATTTTATTCTTTTTTTTTCCCGGAGCACATTGAATGGATCGATTCAGCAATTACCATCGACGATGCGACAAGATGACTAATTGTAAGAAAATTCCACCGTGTACTAACATATATTAATGGTAGATGCCGTTGTCATTTTGTTATTACGTTTTTTTTTTTAATTTTGCAAACTTGTTATTTTCGTATTTCGGCTCCAGAAACGCTCAGTGCTGAAACGCTGATATTCAATACGCGCTAAAATTCCGCAGACTTGTAGACGCCTGCAGTTTATCGCTCACTAAAATGTGCATTCCGTTACACATTATTATTCATCATTTTCTGAACAAACGTGATGATTTACCGGAAGCCGAGTGATTCCGAATAAATTAGAATTATGGAATTTTCGAACTTCATTGAATAATCGAAGTTGTTTATTCGCATTGACGTAACTTTAGATAACAAAACTCAACGATCGGTAATTGCGCTTATTTTAGTTTCTTGAATATTTTATCAGGCGATCCGTTCAACATTTATAATCGCAATATTTTGTCAACTATGTGAAAGAGTATACGACAGGAAAAATTATCTATTACTGTCATATAAATCTTTGGCAGATTCAACACAGCTTCAGATTACACAGCTTCAAATTTGTATCGTTCTAATATCATCTTGATCTGATTAAACATTTTTTTCGAATGTAACTCCTTGCTTATGTATACATATATATTTCTTTATAATTCTTTATATTTCAATGAATTACGTATGCATTTATTTAGAAAAATCTAATATGTATTTATTACGAGTAATACGATGTCGATTCTTTATCTAAATGAAGAATACGTGTTGTACATATACGTTTGTGAACTTTGACGTATATAATTTATTCATCATTTTTTTCTTATCTATAATTATTTCCTGTAAAACGTTTGCTCGAGCGTTTACATTCTATACAGTACGTTTCAAAGAAATATAAAAGTCCCAAGTTTCCCACACATGCAATATCCACGTGTGATCAATTCATATGAATTTATTATATTTTTGCTATCCTCTCACTTTCTCTTTCTTCTGTCTACACTTGAAAGGTCGCTAATAGTTATATCTCGATTGGAAAGCAATTAACGATAATATGTTATCTTAAATTAATGATAAAATTTTATTATTTCGAGTGTTGATATACGTGCCGATCTGTTTAAATATGACTCGATATTTAAATAACGTTCCATTATATCGATTTAAATTGTTTGATACGGTATTTAAGCATTTATATCCGAGATAAGTAATGTAATAAAATTCTGTTAATTCTGATAATTTGATCAAATAAAAGGAATTAAATGAATTTTTCCATCAGAAAGTAAAACAAATACATTTCATATCAATTTTTTTTTGAGACATACATGAAATAAAATAATCAATTTTCTGATGTTGCGTCACGAAAACAATTTACAGAAATCATTTATTTATTTATTTTTAATTAAATATGTGAATGTAATGACATTTAATTAAGTTATCTTCTAAAAGGAATAGAGCTGCAATGTGAATAATTTTTAATCGCACGCAGATTGATTTAAAAAATTTCTATATGCATATGAATTTGACGATACACAAAAAGTAAGCTTTATCAGAAATTTAACTTAATATCTCTATATTTTAGTACAGAGACGGACATTCACGCGGAAATCGACCAGGTCGGTTTCCATGGTGATCGTATCCCTCCGCCCCGACTCTTATATGACTCTTAACTACCTACTTTCCAAGCTTTTCGTTGCTTATTTAAACATACGTGAAAGACATACACGTGAAGCGAATAATTGGTAGGTGTAATCGAAGAAATATCTTGGGTATATAATTTATACACTATTGCGATTGCATTCTCGCGTAAAATATGTGCGGTTTGAGCTAAACATTACCGGTTACACCCGGTAGTTTTTTTTGACGATCTTTTTTTCAACGCGATAAGCATAATCATAAAATCCATAAACGATAGTGAGACGTAATCCTTTCTTCAGACACATTTATACCGATTGTAAATCTTTATCATAATTTCAAAAACTTTGAACAAGGAAGCAAAAATATTCGCGCGATCTCTTATCAATATCAAATATTGACAATTGTGCATAAAAAGGTTTCAATTTTTTTACGAGGAAAGCTCCCCGTAGAAGCTTTTAATGACATTTTCGATGGATGATGTCATCGCGCGGGATACAGGAGAATTCAATCCTACCAATCTCACGTCAATTAAAATATGTTTTTTAAGCTCGTTATGAAAATGACAGTTATATATGCGGGTACAAGTATATATAAAATGTGATACTTTTTGATTCTAAAACTGTTTCTCCTGTTTCTCCTTGACATTTATTCGTTGAAAATTTGTTGAAACAGAAATTGTTAGGAAGATCGTATATTGCACAACATTAGTTCTCTCACTTTAAGGCTCAATTAATCCGACGTTTCGAAAGATCAGATTTATAAATACATTATTATAAATTGCCAAAAGATTCAGCTTTACGTCGACGGTCGACAGTTATGCAATGCCAAAGTATTATTATTAGACTATCTTGTTCGTCGAAAGACTTCTAATAATAAGTGCGTCTACTTTTGAAAGTTTTGAAACGTTCTAGTATATTTTACATGAGACGCAATTTTTTTTCTTTCCAGAATATATAATAGAATATAACGAATCAATGGTAATGATAATACAATAAATATGCAAAAAGTAATAATTCTAGACTTACTTTTTTATCTCTTATTATCAGTATTGATAACTGATATCTGAAATAATTAAATGTTAAAATTTTAAGAGAATTTAAATTATGGATATGCACACATGTTAAGTAATAGACATATATAATTTCAGAAATATATACTTAAATATTGCTTTTTATATATATCGAATGTTGATGATATAAAAGATAATGAAATAACAAAAAAAAATTAATATGTCCCAATAACTATTTTACTGAAGAACAATTTAATGCAGTCGGATTATATAATATATTTTTCACGCTGTTTCAAAGTTGATATTGTGTCAACGATATTTGAATAAATATACACTCTCACAAATACAAAAAATTTAAATTATTCGATTCTTTTATTATTCTTGGCACTATTATTCTTTGAATAAATTAGCGACACTTAAGAAACGTTGATATAATTGCTTACAATTAAGCACATAATGGATGCTACAAACATAAATGTCTAATGAAAATAAATATACATAGATATATATAGCATGAATAGTAAAGAATAGTAAAAGACTCTACTTTTCTTTCATGTTTGTTAATGTAACTAATATATTATGTATTATATATATGCACATATATAATATGTAATTATAATAAATTAATATAAATATAATTTACGTTAGTTAAATATGATCTTTTTCTCGATACAAGAAAGATTACGAGGAATGTGACTTGCATGGGCATGTAACGCTGTAATCAATAATTATGCATGAACAGACACGCGCTTTCTCTTGATTAGATTTTTTTTTATTCCAGATATTACGCACGAGCTCGTTTATTTTCTTGTTACAATAATTTATTTTACAGCTTGTTAGTAAACACGTTTCTTGTCGATCGATTAAGCGTCAGTTGCATGCCTACTTTATTTTCTCGACTGACTAACTAACTAATTTTTTAAATAATCCCATGTTTTTCTCATTCACTAATGATCATTTATTATAATCGATCATTGCTCACGCGCTCACGAGTATCGCAAATATTTTTCTACACGCATGCACGTTTACGCAAACACATTATTTACATTATCTCGATTGTGAGTAATTACTGATCCCGTATTTATTATAATTACTTGCTGTATATCTCTTAAAATTTCGTTAGATAAGAATATAATAAATTGTGTACGAAGTCTTTCTTTTCATATGCACTTATAAACTTTGCATCTATCGATGTGAATATGCAGTGCCGAAATGTGACGAATTTATCATCCGTTGCGAAAGATACGGAGATAAATAAAAATTTTATATTCTTCTTTGTTCCGTATTTATCGCAAGCATCTCGCACACATAACATTTAGTATCGAGCAGTTGTTTCGGAACCTTGACATGGAGAGGACGTGCCAACAAGTTGGGTCATTTGTAACTTAGTTAATCATTCTCTTATCGCGAGCGCGTTATAGTTTGAGATATTGTTATATATTAAGGAAATGCTATAGTTTAATACGTGTGATAAATTGTCACGTGTTTTCCAATGATTATGTACGTAATGACACATTGCAATTATACATCACTTTTTTCTCATGTATAGATTTTCTCAAGATACTTTGTGTGTGTGTGTGTGTGTGTGTGTGTGTGTGTGTGTGTGTGTGTGTATTATATATCATAAATACACGCGACACGTGTGATGTTATTAAAATAATTGAAAAATTTTTTTATAGAACGAGCGACTCGGGCAACTCGAAGGTGTGTGCATGCTGCATTCGGTGCAGTCAACGTTTTGTGAATCATCAAGGATCGTCCCGAGGATCCTTATGATAACCGGAGGACAAAGTGGTTATCATCCGATCGAGTTCCAAGGGCTGAAGGGTTGGAGGCGACGTTGGATTCACTCGGCCACTACCTACATTTAGAGCGACAATGGCCAGCAGGAACGAGAGTGACCTGCGAAATATTTCAGTAGATTGCAACGACGACTGCAATAGAAACAACAATCAAAACAATTATGATTGGTCCGCGAGCGCCGTTGAAAAGGAAAATGTGTGCGCAAAGAGGAACCAGGAGAATCAGTCAGGTAGAGCCCCCTTGGTCGGTTGGCGAAATGGAAGTCCCACGAGTTCCATTTGCTATAATGTTGACTTAATGGATAGCGCAAAAAATAGACGTCAGATTAGTTTAGATTCCACGGAGAAATCAAACGATACGATCGAATTAAAGGGTCGAAACGGTACATCGAAATATGCTGAGCCAAATGCAGGTACAACAATGAATCGACGAGTCAATGACTCTATCGAGTCCAAAATTATTTTAGAGCACCAAGATTCCTTAGAGTCTATTGAAAAAAAACATAAGAAACCAAAAATACCTGATGGCGGTTGGGGCTGGATGGTAGTTCTTGCCTCTTTGGTCGTCTCCATGATAGCCGATGGTATCTCCTTTAGCTTTGGTCTGCTTTACATCGAGTTTCTTCACGAATTCGGCGAATCCAAGTCCAAGACCGCTTGGATCGGTTCGCTCTTCATGGCGGTGCCGCTTCTATCCGGGCCGATCATGTCGGCCCTCGTGGATCGTTACGGATGCAGGAAAATGACCATTCTCGGTGGTCTGATATCGGGAGCGGGTTTTATAATGAGTATGTTTGGTAGAACCATCGAGGTAATGTACTTGACCTTTGGCGTGATAGCGGGTCTTGGTCTGGGTTTGTGTTACGTCACCGCAGTTGTGAGCGTCGCCTTTTGGTTCGACAAGAAACGAACCCTAGCTACAGGTCTTGGCGCATGCGGCACCGGAATCGGTACATTCGTTTACGCCCCGATGACGACATTCTTTATTGCCGAGTATGGTTGGCGAGGCACTACTCTGCTCTTGGCCGGTACGTTCTTCAACATGATCGTCGCAGGAGCCGTTATGAGAGATCCGGAATGGTTGACATGGGAACAGAAGCAGGATGCAGAATCGAAAAAATCGAACGTTCGGTCGGATGGTATGATAAAGCCAAGCGGAAGTCCGTCAGACGAGTTCCCAGGTGTCGAGGAACTTCGAAAACTGCTCAGAAGTGATCGGGCGCCCGAATGTTTTTTACAGAATTTAAGTACGAGCACAGCTGACGGCGGCAAAAGGCATACAACGAGCGTGGTTAATCTGCCGACTTTTGTAAAACGTAGCGAAAAGGTAAGCGACGATTTTTGACAATCGGTCAGTTATTGTAAATGAATGAATTATGGAATGTATGAGATTTCAGGTGCCTTTGGAAGTATTGGAATTATTACGGTCCAACTCTAAACTGTATAATGTTATTCTGGAAAATTATCCCAGTCTCCTATTATGTAGAAGTTCATCCGATAAACAGTTACATGAGTCGACGGGGGAGATTAGTAATAAAAGAGGAGTTACTATGTCAATGAGGTTAATCATTTGCTATGTGTAGTTATAATATAAATTTTAGTGATAATTCTTCGCCAAATCCTTTTTTTTTCATCAAATGTTCGTTCTTTAATCCCGCTACTTTAATCGAATACATGAAATCGAATACAATACGCCAGAACATTAATACTTATATTACGTTCTACAAAGGCTGAAACGAGCAACGGAATCGAAAACGATCCCCGAACAAAGGAACAATGATTGTCCGGCATCCGGCATTCCCGCCTCAACAAAAATTGTTTCCTCCAGAAAAATGTCCAAAAAGGAAATAGAAGAGATTAATCCCTTGCTGAAAGAAGTCACGGTAACAAAACGTTAATTTTGATTATGAATTCCGTCGATTTCCCGCGGCACATCAAACGAATACTTTCCAGGTGGTTCCGACGGAAAGAAAAAAATCTATGTCGATAAAACGTTACTTTGACGTTGAGCAGCATCCCAACGTTGTTAGAACCGACTCGAAACCTTGGCTTAAACGAAAATTCAGTACCACCCATTACTTCAAGGATATCAGAGTGCATAGAAATTCCGTCATGTACCGCGGCGCTTCCCTAAATTTGCACAAATACAGGTTGAGAGCGAGCAGTTGTCCAAACATCTATAGAAACAGTATGATTACATTGGATAAAGAAACCGAACAGGTATTTTAACGTTCGCGATATATTAGAAGAGGTAGGTTTTCTTGTGTACAGATATCGAATTTCGTATCTTATGCAGAAGTGGTACACCGAACTGATGGACCTGTTAAAGAGTATGTTCGACTTTTCAATGTTTCTCGAATTTCATTTTCTGCTAATGTCGCTGGCGACGATATTGCTATTTACGTGGTTCATCGTACCGTACTTTTACCTCGCGGAGCACTTGAGTAGAAACAATTACGACGAATCTGATGCCGCTAGACTCCTCAGCATTATCGGCATAACCAATACTATCGGAATGGTAATCTTAAATCATTAGAGTAGTGCGCTCTTTATTCCTGAGTAAAATGAATTTCTCTCATGCTTGGTGTTGCTCGCTTTTAGATCGTTTTAGGCTGGGCTGGCGATCAACCCTGGATGAATGTCTGTAAGACGTACAGCTGGTGTCTGGTAGCATGTGGAGTCTCTACGTTATTGATGTCTATCTTCACCCATCATTACCCGTATCTAATGACAACTTCAGCAGCTTTTGGTCTGTTCTTCGCGAGTAATTATAGCTTCACTCCTGTTATATTGGTCGAACTGATTCCTCTGGAAAGATTTACCACCGCTTATGGTCTCACCTTGTTATGTCAAGGAATCGGGAATCTTGTCGGGCCTCCATTAGCTGGATGGTTATTTGATGTGACAGATGCATGGGATCTTTCTTTCTTTATGGCCGGTGCTTGGATTATCGTCTCCGGATTTTTTGTAGGTCTGATACCGTATACGAAGAATCGAAAGATTTTTGGCAGTGGACCGATCGAGAGGGAACGAACGAGTACTAATGACTCTTCAGCTTAAAGCGAGTTATTAAGCGCAGTTATTAAAAGATGAAAGGAAACGAGCGAATATTTATCTACTCAAAAAAAAAAGTTGAATAACGTACGAATCTCACTACGCTTATCCAATATATAGTGCGTCAAGACGTTTATCACGTAGCAAATATTTTTGAATTTTCTATTTATGGCGAGAAAGTACTTTTACGTATACAATTTTTTTTTTCTTATTTTCTTTTTTGTACTTAAATTCGTGTCACGTGAATAATTCTATTTATATAATGAAACATATTATGAAAAACAAATTACAAAATGTACAACAGATTTGTACGACAGATTTAATTGAATAGATTACATAGATGCGATATAAATAAATATTCACTTGTTTGGAACGTACTTAATCTTGTTACAAGACAACGATATGAAAAAAGTCAAAAGATATATTTTATAAAATGTGTTTTTTGTAAAACTCGCATATAGACGAATTTATTTTCATTAAAAACTTGTGAACGCTTAAATATACATTTACATGCTTTAATAATGTAAAGAAGCGTGTTAACAATGTTTCTCAGATAATCAAATTTAATAATGTTTCTATCATAAGTTTATATATATCGTGTGCATATGATATAACGTATATATATCACACACAAATATTTTCAAATTTTTGTCAAACTCTTGTTACCTTAAAGTTCCAAAGATTAGATAAGTAATTACAAAAACAATATAGTAATATTCATTTTATATTTAGAAAAAATGTGCGAAGATTTACGAAAAAATGCATAGTTTTGTAAGAAGAATTCTGCCATAAATCACTGAATTACTTAATTTATTTTAATTGTTCAATTTACATCGTATGACATAATGATTGCGTTCAATATATTAATATCTAGACATTAAATATCTGCTACGATAATGCAAAGAGACATAAACATGTTTCATTTTCCATCTTATTCCATCTAATTTTAAATTTCAATATTATTCAGGTACTTGTCCTATGAAAAACTAGAAAATAATTTGCGAAATAGGGAGATCTTTCTTTTTGTGTGCGAATAGATTATATTTATAAAATTATTATATTTGTAAAGCGGTCTACACTATAGCGGTAACACTGTCTTGTTTGTTGAGTATATATGTGTTTTCCGATAAATATGAACAGATCAAATATTTATTATTGATAATATTACAAGTTATATATTAATGATATTATTATCAGGATCTGGATTAACCGGATACTCTTTCTCTGAAATGAGTAAACTAAATGTAAGAAAAACCTAAATGAAGAAAAATTAAATTCCTTTCATTGTTAAATTCCTTTCACTGTATCTCAATATCCTGGAGATGTCATTGGATTATGTGCATTAGGGCTTGGGCTTCGACTGGATGCCCTCGAAACGCCTAGAATGTTGGCGAGATTTTGTATACTCTGAGGAAACATTCTCGCTATGATAAAATGCTGCGGGCCGATTAACGCGTCTCCCATTATACCAAGACGTACTCCGTTTCCAAGCCTGTGTAAGGTCATTGACATGTCTAAAAAAATGTATACAACTTGATGCAATGAAAAATACAACGTGCTATAAATATACGCGAGTGATGAAATATATACTGCAATTTCCTTGCGGTGGTCGCCAATAAATCGCTCCGTCCACTCCTTCCACAGGTAGATCACCATCGACATGCGTCAAACACAGAGAGTATCTTTTCGACAGGTGATTCAAGAGTAATTTCAAAACAATGGCAGGTAGGCAGGACGAGATCAATCCGTAGGACGTTTCCGCTGCTGTGATCGCGTAAATCGCACTCTGCCTAGACCTGGCTTCTTGAATATTTCGTTGAATCACCTTTAGAAAGCGTGATATGAAAGCATTGGAGAGATTCGAGCGAGTTGTTTTATGCGTGAATCCGAGTCTCACCTGCAGTATCTCAATGAGATCATCGTGAAACAATGGCGTCTTGGTGGGTAACGCAAGACAGAGAATACCTCGGGCCTCGTGGTTCCGCAAGAACACGTCCCGTTGACTCACAAACTTGACGGTCGCGAGTACATTGTCTGGAATATTGACGGCCGAATGCCTGAAATATTCCTTTAGAGTATTTACGGTGGCCGCTAAGAGAATTTCCGTCTCTGTCGCACCAGTTACGTTGATGATTTCCCGCACCAGCTCGACATCGACCTCCTCTGACCAAGCCACCACCTTCCTACCGCATGGAGAGATGGTCTGCAGTTGATTTGACTGCGGATGCTTCAGAAACAGCTCCTCAATAATGATCTTGGGTGCCGTTACGGCTATCCAGCTGATAGATACTACTTCTCGAATGGCTTGGAATATCAGAGAGAGATAGCAGGACAATATATATGTCAAGGTATCCGGATAGCAATGTTTGTGCGATTTTAAAGCCTGCAATTCTTGAACGAGGAGAAGAGGCGTTCTTAAGCACAACGTGATTGTGATGTACCAAGACAAAGCGGCGCAAGAGTAGAGGATGTTGATCGGATTGAAGGACTTCGCGATGGACTCGAGTATCAAGTGAAGACTAAAGTTTCTCTTACTCGATTTGCGTTGGATGATCGATAGAAGTTCCAAGAATTTCAACCCTTTTGACTTTCGGCATTGTCTACAGAGAGTTACGGAAAAAAATTAGTCTTTAAAGTTAAGACATGCAGTTGTTACTGTTTTTCCGAAACACATTTCAATAAGAGATCTGCCGCGGAAATCATACCTGGTCAATTCTTTCAAAGTACAGACTAGCACTATTATCGCGATTTTGACACATCGGGACACTCCTATGCGCTTCTTCAGAATCTCCGGCCGCTCGACGGGATCATTGTTGTAGAGGAAATCGTTCCAATAGTTACTGAAGCTCTCGATAAGCATCTGTCGAAGGCGCGGTAGAGCTGTGGGCTCGGCATACAAGTTGGTAAAGGGCGAATCGCTCTCCTGACACGTCCAGTTATCCGTCGAATACTTCAGTGGCAAGAAATCCGCTAAGGTCAGGTGCTCTTGTCGCAGAAGCAAATGATGCGCCCGCACGAGACATATCTGATGCTCTTCCCCTCGCATGAAACAGTTCACTATGTGCACCTGCCACGGCGACAATCTCTTCGGGAGAAATTTCGACGTCACGTCGCTTATGTAATCCTACGACAGAACAGTCGGAATCGGATTCGAAGCCAGAACCGATCTCTGAGTAAGAAAATCAATAGACGCCGACCTGTATGTTGTTATCGGTGATGGGACGACCGCGAAACAAGCACGGCGAATTCACGAGGTGATTGTCGATGGAGTAATCGAGCTCCTTCCAAACATACACGCCCCATCGTGTGAAGAGAGCCGATCTGAGAGACTTTCTCGTAGACGCCAGATGCGCTAGGTGATTCCTCACGCCCTTCACGATTGAGCGTCCTTGCACGAGAAGAGTGCAGATACCCTGTATCAGTGAATCGCAGCAGCGACTCGAATTTTAATTCTTAATTTGTCATACTCACATGGGTACGTCCCTGATCCAAGATACTCCGAATATTGGTCTCCTCCACGACGACGTAATTCGGATACTTCCACTTGACGAAGCGTATCCAAGATCTCCTTGTCCATGTCACCACTTAAAACCGAGTGCATATACACGCACGCATATTAATGCGATACATCTCACAAAATAATGATTCATAGACGCAGAAAAGTGATTCACATGATAGACGCGATTATAGTTACGAGTGCGCGATTTTTAATTATAAATCGATAAAGGTCGAAAGCAACTTTCTATAAAATATAGGAAAAATTCTTAAATAAGCACTACGTGTTATCTAGAGTGTTTGCAATCTTCGTGAGTTTTTAAGAGTTCGAAGGTAGTTACTTTCATCGAAGATAGTTACCTAAGTACGCGATAAGGAGGAGCGGTATCAGGAATATCGTCAGCACGAAACTGAAGCCGAGATTCACCATCCAAGAGACACTGATGCCGACCATGACTTGGTTCGTTCCGTTGTACCACCGATATTTGTCAATTATTTAACAATACGAAGGACAAGTCTCGGACGCGAGTTGCGTTCTTGCAGCTTTCGATCTTGTACTGTCAGTGATGCAAATCGGCGAAATATAAGCCGCGGCGGCAGCCGCATTTGCGTATGCAGACGATTATATGTTCCGAGTTTGACCCTACGACCCGCCGCAAAAAAAAGAAGAAAACGAGAGGCCAAGTACACTGACGAGATATTATTATTTCTCCACCATCGAATATCGACTAGTGGTCTTGTCAGAAGCGAGTTGATAACAACCAGTCGCGGTGGAAAGGACGGGAGAGAAAGATAATGAGTGTCCTTTGGTCCGAAACCTCTTATGAATGATGATGACTATTGAATTGAATATAAAGAGTTATAATATTCGCTTCGATATAAAATTCAATCGAATATCATGCTAATATGATTCATTGAACGATGAAATTTTTTTTATCTTCTTAATATTAAAAAAAACATGGGTTCAGAATCTCTTCCATTTCTCTAAAGAAATCTAATCTCTTATTTTGTCTGGTTTGTTATCTGTCGCATATATTTTTTATATTTCTAATTAAGTACTTTTTTTAATTGTATCCGAGATGTTAATATACTATCAATTATCGCATCGAACAACTCAATTAGCATTCGATTTGCACTTAACGCTATGTTATTTTTCATCCAAATTTAATCAAGCAAATTATATCAAGCTACATATCGAACTATGTCGTAATAATTTATTTCAGGGTTTTATGATTTATTTTATGATTATATGTAAAATATAGTAATTTATATACATGTAAACAATGTAAACTATGTTTATCATATCACTTATGTCTACGATGAATTTATGTGATCCCTGAAATATGACATATTTTATCGAAGATGTTTGGTTTACATTGTATATGATTTTAACATATAAAACGAATGATACGATTTTAATCTTTACATACAATGTTACGAAAAGTCAACAAAAAATTTAATAAACTAAATTTCATACAGATAAAAAAAATAATATATAAAATAAATATTATATATTATTATATTACATAAATTATTACTTTTCTATTTTACAATATAATTAATATTTATTTTTTGATTCTGACATTTAATTTATAATAGTTTAAATAGTTTACATATTTGCATGAAAAATGTGTATAAATTATGTAAATTATAAACACAATTTATGTAACATAATATTTTAAATACTTTAGAATTATATTTTCAACCATTATCGTTAGTTAAGAAGAAGGCTTTCGGAAAATTAATTTAATCTAGATAAAATTTAATCTAAATAATTAATCGAAAATATCAACGCATTGATAAATATCAGCACATTTAAATTAAGCTTATGCTAACGAAAGACTTTAGCTTTTTAACTTACAATCTAGCTTTTTAAGCTTACAATCGAATCGTAAACAATCCTTATATAACATTCGTCACTCGAAATTCAATATTTTTAAAATATTTAATTTTAATGGTTGATAATACAAAGCGTTATGTCGATCGCTACTAGTTTTGCAGAGTCAGCTGCAGATGTCGCCGCCGACGTCGAGCTCTCAAGAGTCGTCGCCAGACGGCACTAGTCTCGACAAAAATGGCGCTGCTCGAGTGAAGGTGGGTAACTTTGTGCGCGCGTGAGTCCGCAAAGGGTTATTTCTCGGAGATGTGGCAAGATCTGGGCGGTCTAGGAGGCGTAGGAGTGAACCCCGGTGCTCATCAGGTCGACCAATTCGGCACGACGGGTGAGTATTTCTCTCGCCGGACAAAATTTTGAAACGCGTCGCGATATGGCGTACGCCAAGTGGCGTAACGAGTCTATCTCCCTCTCTGTCTCTCTCTCTCTCTGCGCGACGGAGGCGCACGCGCTCTCGCTCTCCTCGTCTGTCATACTCGTACACACATACGCGTAGTAAACAAAACGGAACGCGGACGCTTCCTCTCGCTTCGCCCTCGCTCGAAAATCGTCCGACGCGGCGAAAATCGATGTCGACGCCGTTGCACGTCTCTATTCCTCTCCTATCTGACATCGATTCCGTAAGATATCGTATTAACGTCGAGCTTAGAAGTGCATATTCCTTAGAGAGAGAGAGAGGGGGGGGGGAGAGAAAGAGATGATAGAAATTTTTCAGATATTTTTACTCCGAAAAAGGCGTGTGTGTCAAGTTTAGTCAAGCTTAGTCGTCTCGCTCTTTCGAGTAAGGTTAGGTATATATAATTTCGCAGACGATTCTTATATCCGAGATTTAAAGTTAATGGAGATTGAAGTTTGTAGTATTCGTATACATCTAATTGAGGTTAAGATAAAAGATGTAAAATGTCTAAAGTAATTGGAGAATCGTGTATTCATGAATTAAATGTCGAGAGTTACGGAATTATTTATTTATATAAATTCGGAGCTTCCTTTTTGACTCGAGATCCAATCAGGAATGAAGCATAGTCTTAACATGGAAATCGGAAACCGTTATAGTGAATCGCGCGCGACTCGAGTTTTAATTATACCTCCGTTACGTTTAGTTACATCTAAGCTTATGTTAGCATAATTATTTAAATTAACTAAAGCAACATTTATTCGGAGAGAAAAATGAATGTAAAGTGGTAATTTTACGCGAAAAAAATTCACGACGTTAAAAATAAGAGTGATAAGTTTGACGTTAAAATCGTCATCTCCAATTTAATAAGAATTAAGTCTGATTCAAATTTACCTGTGCATCGCGATACGATTGTGTACGAGTTGTTGCAAACTGTAGCGTTCGGTTAACGTTCGTCTCTATGGCCTATATGCAGCCTTAATTTGAAGGCCCTATTTTTAGATCTTTCGGTAAATTGCTACTAACGAGGACTCCCAACTCGGGGCCTCGCAATGGGGACATCCCGATGCGTAATCGTCGGTTTCTTTAATAATTATTCGAGAACGCAGAAATTTGGCAAAACGAATCAATGAGAAAAAATACGCGCGTGTTTTTGTTGAAATCGATATATCCCTAATTTTGTGATTATTTTTTAATCGCAGAATTGACTCCCGAACAACAGAAGATCCTCATAGACATCAGACGAAAGAAAACAGAGTTACTGCTCGAGATACAAGTGAGTATCATGCTCTATTTCAGCTACAATTTTATTTTATGAAAACAATCAGAGAAAAAGAGAGAAAGCAATATAGCTTGATCTAAAAAATATAAATAGAAACCTATTAAAGCATTTAATTTTGAATATCTCTATTTTAATATCTCTGATTTTATAATCTCTAAATAAATAATCATTAATAATCTTAAAGGAATCTATTATTATAATCTATAATTTTCTATCTCTGATTTTTAAAGTCATAATTATTCAAAATATGTTAAACTTGTGAGATAAAGTTTTTATATTAATTAAATATTAATTTACTTTATCTAGACTGATATACTTTATCTATGATTTATCTAGACTGATTTTGAATGTACTCAACCAATTAACATAAGTGACACAAATAATTATAAGTACTCGTTAATTATGTCTTTGAAGGAGATATAATTTAATGACACTTCACTATTTAATTCATGCCAAGAAAAAAACGTTAAATATTAAAAAATTATTTTTTTGAAAAGAGATGAAAAAAAGATGCGAAGCGCAGTACGAGGAAACAATAAAATAGTATTTCTTTGTACAATTTAACGGAAGCGTGCATTCAACGTTCTTTCCTCTTATTTTTTTTTTAAGATAGTATTATACCCGACAGCAGTCGTAAATACGATAAAAAAATAATGAGTTTCGAGCGGATTTCTAACAAAATGACTTCTTCGTGAACAGCGAATGATATCACTCCTCAAGAATTTATCCACGTAACAAAATAATACACATACAATTAATAGAATACGATACGAAGCGTCTATCGCTCGCGTTTATCATTCGTAGATGCAGCCACATAAAACGAGTCTGTTTTACCGGTATATTGTGTGTTCCGGGTAGTTATACAATCATTTAATATTATATATATATATATATATATATATATATATATATATATATCCAGTACACACACACACACACACTAAAATTCTGTTTCAAAATTTAATATTTTCTTGCCAATATTTTCAACTCCTTTTTTTACATATTTTTTTTTATAAATCGAAGATAAATAAACAGACATGTTTTTTACATGTGGAAAGAATGATAACATAATATTCGAATGTTTGTGATTTGTTTTTTTTGTCGTCGAGTCTTTCGAATATATACGTATCGCGCGCGTTTATCAATGTAAAGAAATAATTAAATTGTCTGATAGACTATTTTATTGAAATATCGTGTATTGAGAAAGATACAAAAATTATGTATCCCGTTATAATTTTATAGGGTGTATACTTCTGGGAAAAACTTGGGAAAACTGGAATTTTCATTTCTGTTTTACTCTGAAAAATCAGGAAATTCTCATGGAAATTTATTGGAGCTCAGAGGTTTTTTAAAAATTGCTTCTTTGATGATTTTTTTTTTATATTATAAATAATCTGCAATCTTTTAATGTTGCTACTGAAATTTAACTCCAACACCAGCATGTAATATTCAATACATAAATATTTGTTTTAAAAATATATTAATAAAAAATATGAAATTTTTAAATTTAAAATATATTAAAATATTTTGTGTTAGATTTTAAAGTTCACGCATAATAAATAAACTTATTTTAAAATTGTATTTATATATAAATTTTACAAATACTTTAATTTTATCTGGAATTTTCAACGAAAATATTTGGAAAATTATGGAATCTCAGGGAATTTATTTACAAGATTTGAGTATACACTCTGCTTTAAATAAAAAAAAATTTTATTTTTATCGTGGAAATTATTTTATGAAATTGTAGAAAAAATATATTATTTCTCTTATTAAACAATTACTTCTGTTCCTGTATCACAAGCAGCATATTTAATACAGTAAATACAACGGCATGTGTGGTTCCATAAGAGCGGGTATCTGTGTACATAGTACATATGGCCAGAAAAATTCCAGGATGTTCTTATGATAAGACGGTTTCCGCAATAGCAATGATAGTCTTGCTTACTCATCTATTTGTAAACTGATATCTATTCAACGAAACGTTACGCGTGGTCGGAGATGCATCACGAATTTTCGTAGACTTTAAAAAAGAAATATTACAAAATCATGTCGCCAAGTTTGAGGCAAAAATCCCATTTCCGTACCTTCGATACCGCTCCATTTGTATTTACGCGCTTGTTGCTCCTTCTAGCTATGAAATTCAGGATATCTAAACAGAATCGCAAGTCACACACGCGCTGTTTACAATTTATCGCGATCGATATAGCATCCTATAATTTGTGACGTGCGGAGATAAATACTGTAGGAAGGCGAAAGGAGTCCTCGGATAAGTTTCGTCGTCGTTACTGCAGCAATAGTTAACGAGTCAATGATACGAAACTCTTACACACTTCGAGGCAGTTGGAACAGATTCGGGTCACCCTGGTCGTGTTCGTCGAGTTGTCTTGGTCGAAGCAGACGCCGTAAACAGGTGACACACAATTAATGGCTTCTTGTATGAATGACACTTCTTATCATTGAAAAGTTAGTTCAGATTCGATCCTCACTTATGTCGATAACACTTGATAATTATTTCTGCAAGCGAACAACTCGTCCTTAATTTATCGTCGTTGATGCTGACGGATTAATTAGTTAGAGAGATTTCCGGTGTAAAATTTCTTAGAGAATCTTCCTTTTTTCAATTGAAGTTGCGTCAAGCGAAAGCTGCTACAAAGTACATGCATAAAAAGTTGGGAATTAATGTAAATTAACGGTGTGAGAAATATGTCAGTAGATCTTGAACGTTGCCTCCTTTTATTTCTCCAGCTCGATCGATCGCAAGAGTTATATTCGCCAGTTTTCTTTGACAGATTCTATAAAAAAATTAATAATAAATTATTATAACATATAATGTACTATAATTGCTTTCCTCGTTTTGGAAATGTCCTTATATATATATATATATAATGTATATAATATATATATATATATTATATATATATATTATATATATTATATATATTATGTATGTACACACATGCATATTCACATATATAAATAGAACTAATCGAATGCACGCAAACAATGTTGATAAAAACATAAATCTTGTTTTTCTCGAAAATATTTGCAGGAACTGTTGATTATAATAAAGAATGTTTGTGTGACACATTGATACGATACAAGATAAGATAACTTAGATTATTAATTGTGTGACGCGTATAGATTATACATATAAGTAGTTTCTAGGAAAAAGTAAACTCAGCTGACCATGTATTAACTGACACATCTATTTCATAATGACATCAATGAGCCATTCGTTTCATTCTTTATCCACGTTGATCGAACGATCGTCGCGATTATACTCGACGTGTTATACACTTATATTAAATTGCCTCGTATAAAATAATAAGTCAATATAAAAATCTCCCTCCTATCTTTAGATTTTCGTTTTCACGTTATTTATGCTGCTAAAAAAAGAATCCTTGCTCGTTCCTAGAAAAGAATCGTCGATTTAATTAATGCGTAAAAGAGCTTTTATTTAAATAATTTCTATTGTAATAATTAGCAGCTCGTTGAAATATGACTCACGTTCTCGTCATCCGCTTAATCGAATAATAAGTAATCGGTTCGATAAAAGCCTTGAGACCCGAAATGGAATGGATATTAAGAGCAGTCTGTTGAATCGATCACTTAAATGTAGAAAATAAGCAATATTGAAAGGCATGTGGCACAAATCGATTATCGATTACGCATTTCCGATGTGAGATTATGCTCTCGTTGGTCACGATCACGCGATTAACATGTGCATGCAAGCGAAATAGGTGTGTGTGTGTGTAGCAGGTCGATCTTCTTGCGGTCGACCTTGTAACGTGTACAGCAGGTGCATCACCAAATCATAGTGGATGTTGTTCGGAAAGAGTCGAAGGCCATGTTCGTTGTATCTTTATTCGATAGTATATGCTTCGTTTTTTTCCTGTTTTGTAGACGACCTTTAACCAGTTTTCGAGCCGTTTAAAATAATCTCGTCTTTCCCGTATTTTTGATCTTTCTAAGCGAAGAACTGGTCCAGGCGGGCATTTTACAGAAATCCTCGGAGTATATCGTTTGCAAAGGAAGATGGTATCAGATTCTGAATCATCATCGTCGAAATTTGACGTGAGATATCGTTATTGCATACGAGTTTTATCAGGGATTTTTCGCATAACTCTACGTCATATATAATATTTATATATATGTACGTATATATATGTATATACAGCGAACATTTCTTGGAAACGTACGTTTCACGATGATTGCAAATATTTGCGCGCGAGTGCGAGCGGCGGCCGCTGCGAGGCGCTGGTGTACGGCGGCCGCCGCCGTGACGACCCGTCGGCCGCCGCCGCCGCCAGTTGCGGGGAGTCGCGCGACGGTAGTGGACGTGTTTGCCGTTGCGCTCTCGAGGTTTCGGTAGAGTCGGTCGGTCCGTGGTTTATCGCGCTCAAAACTTGTCGCCTTTATCTCCACGTGAAACGCGTTACGCACTTGTTGCCTTTCGCGTGACTCGATTATTCATCCGAATGGTGCGGAGAACCTCACTTTCCCACGAGTACGCGCGAAAACTGGGAAAGAAGCGGATATAATTATATAAAGCGTGCTTTAAAAGAGAGTCGCCGTCGTCGTCGTCGCGCAGGTCGGTCGTTGCACTTCCGACCGCGTGCTCGGCGACCCTTGTATCTTGTCTATTCTTTGTCGGGTTGTAACTCGAGCGATGTCGCGGCTCGCGTGCGACCGAGGTGACGAGCGACGCGGGGTCGTGCGAAGCGCGTGTCGTTCAACGTCCAGAAAGACGGGACACGCAAAGTGAGGGAGCGAGGGGAGCGAGGGGCCGAGGGATAAAAGTGCGAAACGCGGGCAACATGATCTTCACCGGCAGATCGGTGGACGCTCTCGACGAGGTGCGCGGCACCGGGACAGGTGGTGTCCGTTCAGCAGCGGACGGCGGACGCCGGGACGCGAGCACGATCGCTATCGCTGCTGGGTGGTTCTCCAGTTTGCGAAGACCCGGCAAGAAGGGCAAGAAGAACCTGAATCAGAAGCAGACCAAGAGCGCCTGGGATCTCAGCCTCCTGTCCACCACGGTTAGTCTCGGCCCGCGAGAGATCAATTGCTCTAAATTTATGAATTAAATGCGGAATCGCGTTTGCTGGCGCGTCGCTGCGGCTCGGAAGTTGTATAGGGATACGTACGAAGGTGTATACACACACCACCGTGATCCTCCAAGGCTACCTCGTGCCAATTCGCCAGATTTATTTCTAGATATCGTTGCCTCGTGGAAACGTTTGCGAAGTGATGGATGATTAATAGAGACGAGGAAAAAGTTGACCGAAAGAGTCGTAAAGTTCTCGGTAAGAAAGAACCTATGATTTTGCAAATGAGAATGACGTCATTGTTGCAAAGTTAATCGCTCGATTAGTCTACCTAAGCGTGTTGCTTCCTATGAGCGAAAAAGCTATTTTAACAGATATTTTACCTAAATTAAAATTCCATTATCTTTTCAAGAGTTTGCTCGTCAAGTAAAATCGCTTGAAGCGATGCTTTAACTCGAGCTGCGACATCGTCTTCGTGACTCGTTTCAGGGTCAAGAATCAAATGCAAAATAGATGTTGATCGTTTCTGTCACAGCGCGAGTGTGTGAGATTACATACACGTGTATGTAATCGTGCGCGCGCGCGTTCATACAAGTAGCTCGAATCAAAACCTTTGATGGTTCAATCTTTATCGGTGACAGCGATTGCGGTTGAATATCGAATATCTATCATTAATGATCCCTCATAAAGGTAATAAAGTAATATTGCTCCGCGTGTCGCGTGACGTCACGAATTGAAGATCGTAGACCGAGAGAGTCAGTGAGACTTATTTATAGATAAAACCGGGACATCCACACTTTCGATGCATTCGCTATCGATATATATAAATATATTCACGCATAATTTACAGAAATTCTAAATCATTCAATATGTTTACTATACAAGGAATAAATAAAAAATATTGCAGAAATTATTGTACATATATAATAAATAAATTAAAAAATAAATAAATTTAAATAATGTATCTAATAAAAATGTAAATAATGTATCTAAGAAAATAATTTATATATAATATTATGTATATAGTAATAATAATTATATATAATAATAATAATATAATATATAAATAATTATTATTACCATATACATAATATTATATATAAATAATATTATATATATTTTCTTAGATATATTATTTAAATTTATTTTTCGTAGATAACGAGAAAGAAGGAGGTGGAGAAAATTAAGAAGAGTAAATTATTATGCGCATTAAAAAATTCAAATTTCTCTTTATGTTATGTATTTTATAATTTCCATGCATGTATATTTTAATACGAGGGATTTTGTTAGAGTAAGATATATATTCGGCTCTCGTGTGTATAAGCGGCATGGAAATGGCAAAGTACCTCTTGACGATAGCGTGATTTATCTCGAGAGTGCAACGCGAATAATTGCTCCGGCAATTAATTCGTTTATTAATCATATATAAGGAGTAATGGATCGAATCTAATGTAATCCCCCTCCTCCTCCGTACTTTCTTTCCCTACATTCGCGCCATTTGCTGGCGATAAAAGAGATTAGCCGGGTCAGTGATAGACAGATCGACCCGTTTGAATTCGGTGACACGGATACGGTGACACGACGAGCACGAATGGATCGATGGATGCGTATTAGTGCGCGTATTTTATATATACATACGCGTAACGATATAGATTTAAATAGCTCGCTTTGACATGTCTTTCACCCGGGGTTGTATCCATTTACATGCTAAGAGAGATAAATATAATTCTCGCAAGATGAACGAGGCGACCAGTCGTTCGACCCATATATCCCCGAGAGCGTACTATTACGAGGAGGAAAAAAAAATTACTTTGGCGATGTAATCAGCCAAAGTGGGTTATGCAAATCGGAAACAAAACAAAAGTACATCGTAGCAGATGCTTTTTGTGTTGGCGACCCTCGATCGGCTGACTCGTTCAATGATACGATAACGATCGCTCGCGACGCGAATCGGAAACGAGAATCAGATGCATGTGTCAATGTGTCATGAGATGTGTCAGCGTATGTATAAAGAGAGGCGGAATTTATCTCGCTTATAACGTTCGACTAGACAGCGAATTAACGAGGAGCCGTTCGTGACGCCTAAGTAACCGGATACTCGCTATTTGCACACCTAATATACCAACATTAACGCGAGCGCGGTCGGCGAGAATCAATGTGCATTGTTGATCTAATGACTAATCGGCAATTTGCGTGTCCGTTTACTACTTCCTATTGATTCATTCAGCCGCGTCGCGTCGAGATATCGTTATCATTTGTGCGCTGAACAATGTCTACTCGGGAATTTCCCTTAGAAGCCTAAAAAAAATCAGAGAATTCTCGAGGAATTTTACTGAAATTCAACAAATTTTTTAAAAAATCTCATAATTTTGCTCTTATACTGTAAGCGATAGAGATAATTCGCCATGTTATAAATTATATTTATGGTTAAAAATATATGCTGTTTTTGTGTTTATATATACAATGACAACAATATAAATATTATGAATATGCAGTATAAATTGTTTATTGTAATTTGAAAAAAATGAAAATGTTATGCAAATGAAAAATATTTATCTTACAAAAGTTATTCAGTTCTTTTCAGTACATACATATTATACATTTGCAAATCTAACTCTTGAAACTCAAGTGATTCTATGTTTTTCCTTTGTAAATAGCTTCAGGAAATGCACACAGTAAAAAATTTTATTTTAGAAAATTGCATAGAAAAATCTTCAAGATATTCCTTTTATCTAAAATTTTGAATAAAAATAAAAAATCGGGGAATTTGCAGGGAATTTGCTTCAAGATACGAGTAGACGTCCTGTGGAAGCTAACCGGTTTCGCGACGCATCTTCTCCCGATCGCGTTTATTTCGAATGACCTAAATGGTCTCCTTGTGTGTTGTAGATTCTTGTAAACTAAATAGAGAGAACTTTGCGCCACTTTGGAGGCCGCGAAACCCTAAAAGCTCGAGTCATTGTTCGTTACACTTAAATAACGGGAAAACTTTCATCGAAGCACTTGTACGCGCTCGCATTTCTTCCATGGATTCGTAACTCCTGGACAACGGCCAAACGCACGGTTCTCTTTGGCTTGGAGAAACGCGTAGAATTTGGCGCGCTTGGCCGATCTCCAGTTACAATCTCCCCGGTCACGTGACCGCGATCTTGTTGGATACACGTGAAAAAATTCTTTGATCTTACATTTCACCCTCTTACGATTCATCTGATCTTTTAGCCCCTCAATTATTTAAACATTATTTAAAAATTTCATAAAATATTACATTATTTTATCGGATTTCTCTCAAATTTTTCAAGCAATCTTCGCAAGCAATATATGCGTGTGAAATTGTGGAAAGTTTATATTTACATTAGACACGTGAAAATAATTGGAGAGATTATGTATATATATAATAGGAGAGTTTTTTTATTGTGGGTAAGGAAAGAAAGTATATAGATAGATGCTTCGAAATAAAATATTTAAAACCCGAAAATGTATTCGTATTTTTTGTACAACGTCCATGACACGGTTATCTTTGCATAGTCGGCAGTATAAAATCACGGTATACGTCATACCTTTCGTCGAAATAAATACATGAATAGCCTGTGCAACGTTAATGTAATATCAGTTTTGGATTCTGATAAAATGTTCAACGGTACTTTATTTTATTAACGATTATCAGTTTGATTTTATGCATTCATAACACACAATATGCTATTTATATTTTTAGACGGCCGATTATTTCGTTGACTTAACAATCTAAATACATCAAAGATATCTATTCTTTGGAAACATATGGAGAACGTTGTATTCTGAAGGAGAATCTTTTTTTGTACCTGAACAGTCAGGATTCTGATAAAATTTTCAACGATACTTTAACGATTATTAGTTCGATTTCATGCATTTATAACAATATGCTATTTATATTTCTAAATGAGCGAACATTTGGGTTGACTAAATAATCTAAATATATCCATCAAATATATCTATTCTTTGGAAAAATATGGAGAAGTTTGTATTTTCGAGGAGAATTTTCTTTTTTTTTTTTTTTATACCTGAAAAGTCAGGAAATTCTCGTAGAATTTTATTAAGAATCAAAGAATTTAAAAAAAAAACAATTTGTTCGTCGATAATTTTGCTCTTACATTGCGAATCATTTAAATTGTAAACTATATGTTTTTAAAATATAATATTATAATATTATAAATATATATTAAAAATATATTGGAATATTTTGAAATTATAATATTGAATACACAGCACATATTTTTATTATAATTTTTTTTATTATAATTTTTATTTATTTTATAAAAGCTATAGAGTTTTCTTCAGTATATTTTCAAATTTTGTATTTGAAACTTAAATAGAAGCCTTTTTTATTTTTCCTTCATCTGATTGAAAGACGATAGAAAACGCATACAATAATAAAATTTATTTTAGAAAAAATTGCATCCAAATCTGTAAAAAAATTCTCTTTATCTAGAATATTGAATAAAAAACTAATCATAATCAGAGTCTCTATTAGTCCGCGACACATATATGACAAAAAGCGTAAACATATGATAACGATATTATGCACAACAATGCATATCCATAAAGCATAATTAACTCTCGTGACAGCCCACAACCTAATGAAGCGCTAAATCACTGCGCAGGCATGCAGTTTGCTCGCGTACGACTTTTATGACGCGGACTAGTTGCAAAACCAGCACGTATGTATACATACGTCTCGGATAAAGCATGTAGCATCTAATCGAACAGCAACTTTCGCTCTTGGTTTAAGCGTTTATGTCGCTTTCATCCTCCGTCGCGGTATTGAGATCAAAGAGAGACACTATGAATGGCTACTGAAGATTACTATGATGGTACTCCAAGTTTTGTGCGCTACTTAATTACGCTTTGTCCGCGACATCGGTTGTGGCTTTGAAAATCAGATATTATGATCGAACGTTAAATTCGTTTGGGCATAGAAAGAGAACAATGGAATGTCTACTTTTCGGAAAAATATAGAAAACAGGGTTTTCCTTTGTACTAAAAATCAAAGAAATTTGATAGAATGTTATTAGAACTCAGGAAATTTTAAAAATTTTTTCTCTGATTATTTTGTTTTTATACTATAATCGACGATCCGCTGATAAGCCGAATTGTTAATTAATTCTTCATTATAATTTTTAGTGATAAAATAACGAAAATAGTTTCTTGGGAAAATACAGAAACAGAAATTTTTTTCTTGTGTAATTGAAAAATAAGAAAATTTTCATGAAATTTTATTGAGACTCGGAAAATTAAAAAAAGAATTTCTTTGATCATTTTATTCTTATAAGCACTCGGCAATCCTTTGATAAGCCAAGTTATTAATTAATTTTTCACTATAATTTTTAGTGCTGAAATAATGAAAGTGATATGCAAGTGAAACATATTTACCTTACGAAAGCTAATTAGTTTTTTTTTCTATCTTATCATATTTTCATCTCTTTCATTATATAAAAATCTAACACTAAAATTTAAGCTTTTGTTCTGTACTTTTTTTCGTATGAATCAAAACATATTAAAAAGAGCAAATTTATTTTAGAAAATTGATAAAAAAATTCTTACAATATTCTTTTCACCTAGAATTTCGAACACATACCCGGAAAATGAAAAAAATTTCAAAGAATTTTTTTTACATTATTTGAATGAATTCTCTAGAGAAAATACGTACGCCAAATACATAGTTTTGTCGTTAATTATCACGTTGCAGTCACGCGAGAGATATTCCAGTCGAATACTTCGAGATGGAAAATACTCTCAAGGATGCAAAGGAGATACTCTGTTCACACGAGATATTTCAAGTAACGAACGTACTCGTATTCGTCGCGCGAAGTAATCTTCAACTTCTCCGTATATGAATGCGGATGCCCTTCGCTTCGCTACTCGTTTCGCAGGAAGGAAGCTAGTCGAGTGCTGAACTTTCGATCGATTGTACAGGACGCGTTACGCGAACGACAGAAATAGAACGGAATAAGGCAATCATTCCGCGCGGGTCGGACGGCAAAAGGGAAACGTACGAGTCAAAGGCGAGCACGCACTTTTTTTTTTGAAATGAGAGAAATTTGCACGAGCCATTTAACGAAACCTGTCGCTGATGGGTATCGTAAGGAGCGAGATCACTGGCACGTTACTTTTGCAAAAATTATAAAATATAAAATAATAAATTCAATTAAAGTATAATTCCAATAAATTAAAATATAAAAATATTACATGAAATATAAAAATTAATAAAAATCTTGCATCGCGAGTTTTTATTTTCTTCATGTCGGGAATTCAATGGAAAACCTTCGGCAAGAACTTGCCACGATTCCTCGCCGCTCGTATCTCAATTCAACGATGACAAAGCGGTAATTAGCAATGCTAACTACCTCGCAGTCGTATTTATACGTCCTTATTTCATCGGGTAGATCATTCGACAACGTCGCTTATATATATAATTGTCTCTTAAATAAACGAAATGAAATTCGCAAGCGGCTGAATTACGAGGGAATTTTTAAGAATGACGTAGACGCGGAAGCGAAAGAAAGTTTTCTTTCCCAGCATTCAGTGCGAGTTATAATTTGTCAGGTTCACAGGGCATACCGGTTTTTTTCGCGCCGTCGAACACGGCCTTCTTCCTGTCGTGAGACCGGATGTACGCCGATAAATACAAAAGAAATGCTACTACCAACAGACAATACTCAGGGCCGACCAGCGACCAAGTTATTATCCTTGTTGTTATCGCGGCGACCCGTTAACAAGTCTCATCGGTTAACGACGTATGGCTGTTTCCGGTGTATATGTGTATATGCATATGAGTCGGCCCTTCCTCTTATCTGAAATATTTTTGTAGGAAGACGCCGCTCGTTACAAATTCCCCCTTTCTTTTTTTTTTTTGAAAGTCCTTGTTGATTCGAAAATAAGCTTGAAAATTTATCTCTATTTGAAACATAATTTTTCCCCTTTATCTTTGCCTCTAATATTTTCGTTTGGATTATTGTCATCGTGTCTTTTCTATTGTACATTTATTTTTGAGATAAATATAGAAATATATAAATATATAAATATAGAAAACCTGGAATTCTTTTATATCTATAAAAATCGAGAGATTCTCATGGAATTTTATTGAGACGAGAAATTTTAAAAAAATTTCTCTTTCATATTTTTACTTTTATATTGTAAGTAATCATCGAGCCAAGTGGATTGTGTGTGTGTATGTGTGTTTGAAATATAAATATAAATACACATTTATATTTATATTTATATTATATCTGTTTATATATTCAATATTTTGATAAAATATTGAATACATAGGATATATTCTTTGTTGAATACGCAGGATATATTTTTAACAATAAAAAAATGAAAATGTTATACAAGTGAAAAATGTTGATCTTACAAAAACTATTTAGTTTAGTTCAGTAAATTTACAAATTTAACACTTTAAACTTAAGTGGCTCTGTATTTTTTCGTGCAATTAAAAACACATAATAAACAAATTTATTTGAGAAAATTTTAGGAAATCTTAATGAATCTAAAATAATTTATCTGAAAGTTTAAAAAAATGTGGTGGATCAGGGAACCTTTAGGTAATTTTTTTAGTAGACATCCTCTTAAGTAATGACAGTAGGCTCACGCAGTAAGTTCGTGATGATAAATGTTTCGCGATAGCGAAGTGTTAGTTTCTAGGTCGCGCTATTAATGGCGATAGTAATAATGTTGCGAATGGGCGCATCGCGTTGTTATTTGCATGCAGTCATCGATTTTTTGCAATGTGCACGATGTGAATCACAAGAAACCTTGGTATTTGCATCGAGAAAATCTTTTGAAATCGAAAATCTTATTCGCGAAAAGTAGAAATAGTCGCAAATATGAGGAGATAAACTGCGACATTTGGTATCGCGAAGACGAACGATGAGATTGGCGATTCTCGACGTAATCATTATTGTACTGATCCAACATTACGTGACGCGCGTGATCCTTTTAGCGCGTCTGCTACCCACAGTGTCTATTCGAAACCGAAAGAGATACGATCCTGCTTACTGTGGTATTCGCGGAATGTACGTTGAACTGAAACGCATGGTGGGAAATAGGCGGACGGTGTCGACCGGTATTCGAGCGAAACAGGAAGCCGTTGTTGTACCGTGTACAACGATCTACGAGAATCGCATCGTTCGTCGTTCCGAGTCATTACATTCCCCGTTAATAACTTGTAAACTTTGGTGAATTTTTTATATCGATTATGTGAAAACACGAAGGAAACTTCCGACGCTATTATATATTTATATAGGGAGACCTGGTTGAGATGATTTTTATAATTTATTTTAAAAATTTTCTTTCAGCAACTGAAAGATGAATTGGGCGAGGTTGTCGCAGAAATGGAGGCGATGGAGGGCGGTGGACTTACGGCCGACGAGACGAAACCGTCCAACAAGGCCAAGCAGACGTCGATCGGCCGCAAGAAATTCAATATGGATCCCAAGAAGGGCATCGAGTACCTGATAGAGCACAACCTGTTGGCACCGACGCCGGAAGACGTCGCTCAGTTCCTTTACAAGGGCGAAGGTCTCAACAAAACTGCGATCGGCGACTATCTTGGCGAACGGCACGACTTTAATGAACGGGTGCTGCGAGCCTTCGTCGAGTTGCACGATTTCACCGATCTCATATTGGTGCAGGCCCTACGCCAGTTCCTCTGGTCGTTCCGATTACCCGGCGAGGCGCAGAAGATCGATCGCATGATGGAGTGTTTCGCTCAAAGGTACTGCCAGCTCAACCCGAATATCTTCACCAATACGGACACTTGCTACGTGTTGAGCTTCGCCATCATTATGTTAAATACTTCGTTACATAATCCGAGCGTTAAGGATAAGCCCAGCGTGGAGCAGTTTATTTCAATGAACCGAGGGATTAATAACGGGGGAGACCTACCGCGAGAGCTGCTTGTGGTAAATATACTTGTAGAAGATTGAGATCCATCTTTTTTATCTTTTAATCACAAACATTTTTCTAGCGAACATTTGCTCAGTCAAATATTCGTATCTATTTTTAGAGTTTATACGAGAGTATAAAAACCGAGCCTTTTAAAATACCAGAAGACGATGGCAACGACTTGATGCACACCTTCTTTAACCCTGATAAAGAGGGTTGGCTGTGGAAGCAAGGTAATGCCTATGATTTTTATAAATTGATTGCATCTCACATGACAGATTCTCGATTTCTTTTCACGTAATACTATTCCAAAAGAAGCACACGTTTACATTCTTGTGAGCTAACAAAGTACGCAGTATTTTGTTCACGTATATTAGTATATTAGTACACGTATATAGTTCAAAATTATATTTCTAAATTCCTCGATTTTTGTCACATTCATCGTTGAAAGGACGCTTATTCTTATATTGTATCACTTTGTTCTTCTGCTGCCCTGCCGGAGACAGCAGGTAAATAATATATGTGCGTAAATCATGGGTTCTTAATTTTACAAATTCCTCATTTTGTTACAGGTGGACGGTACAAGAGTTGGAAGAGGCGATGGTTTATATTGAACGACAATTGTTTATACTATTTCGAATATACAACGGACAAGGAACCACGTGGCATCATTCCGCTAGAAAATATTCAGGTCCGAGAGATTCAGGACCGACACAAACCGCACTGTTTTGAATTATATGCCGCTGGTTCCGAGTTCATAAAGGCATGCAAGACTGACAGTGAAGGAAAGGTTGTCGAAGGTATGATTTCTCGAAAGTTTAGTCTCTACATTAATCCAAAGAGAATTAACATTACATACCAAGGAAGGAAGGAAAAGTTTAGTTCAGAAAGTATTTTTCTTTCCTTCTTTCTTTATAAACTTATATTTCAACTGAATACTTATGTATTTATCATCTATTATTTGCAGGAAAACATACCGTATACAGAATGTCCGCAGCTACTGACGAGGAAAAGGATGAATGGATCAAATGCGTGCGGTAAGTTAAAAGAATTGCAATTCTTTACATGCTTATACTATTATTCTTTTACAATAAAATATAGTAAAATTGTGATAAAATGTGTTTTAAACTAATCACATTGTTCGTTTCCAGGCAAAGTATATCGCACAACCCTTTTTACGATATGCTGGCGGCGCGAAAGAAGAAGGCACAGAAAACTAATGTACATTCGAAGAGTTAAGCGCTGCCACAAGCCGGGTTTCTCGGCGTATTAGAAGACTGCTTATTTGCGATCCAACGTTACGTTTGATATGTATCGTAGAATACAATCAAATCATATACAATGGCGAAAATTCATTGTGAGAGTACGCCGAAAGCGTTAAAAAACATGTTGGTGGAAACTAGACACGGTGATATGACACAAAATATCACTGCAGGGAATTGCTGCGATTATGTAGAATATGATATTAATATGGCATCGTTCGTAGACTGAGCACGGAATATAGAATCGGTGCGATGTCCCTCGAGTGCAAAATAGATAAATAGATGAAAGTTACATCAATGAAGGTAATGTACCATAACGCACCATTATAACACGATGCTTGATCAGCATTATATATCGTTATCGAAAAGGATTTTGCACTACAGAGGCCTAGCCATAAATTTAAATAGACTGCTTCTATATTTTTTTTTATAAAAGAAAATAGAACGATATTGATTCACATATATTGGAAATCAAAGTCTTTAAATAATAACTGTACCGCCGGTTAATTGCTATCAAAATGATATATATGCGAACAAACAAAATGATTATTGAAATTTATTTAACACTTTATACTTTGCTAAAAAAGTAATTAAATGTCAAAAATAATTGGATAAAATAGACGATTTTAATATTCTTAGCATTATATTTAACAATATATCATGTGACATAAAACATGTGATCATAAAACAAAATATAGCAGGCAGAACGGAATATTTCTTATTTTCCGGCAGCTCTAAGATGTCATTCAAGTCCTAACTGATCTTGGGAAGTAATATTTGAGGTATTTTGTTATGTACAAGGTGCAAGAGTAATCGTCCTGTATCGTGTAAATAAAACATAATATGAGATTCGTGATTTCCAATTATATTTAAAAAAATTGTAAAATCAAAGGGAAGTGTGAGTTCAAGAGAAAGCTCGCATTCATGTGTATTTATTTGAGCAAATATGTACAAAGGTAAAACTACGTGATATATTCTGTGCGTAAAATAAGATTGTCTCAAGCTATTCATGCTTGTACAGTTCACGAATAGCATGATTAGTCGACTATAAGTGCTATAACGTTTGTTTATAATTTGAAAAGGCATGTGTATGTATGTCGTGCGATATGCATATACACAATTCATCCTTACACACAATCTAAGGAGAGTAGTGATTAATACACGTAATAAATTTAAATAATACCTTTATAAGATCTGATGGGAAACCTGCAACTCGATCATTTTTTATGCGAAAAAGGTATAATAAATTACATATGTGTATGTATATATGCATATGTACATATATACATAATACATATATCCATATATTCATATAAATACATATATACATATATATAATATATGTATATATATATAAATGTATATGTATATGTGGATATATATATATGTATATATTTATATATATGTATATAGGAGTATAATATAAAATTTTCTTATACATACATACAACATACACACATACGTACATACATACATATACATATATAGAAAGAGAGAGAGAGAAAGAGCTTTCTCTTTTTAATACTTTTTTTAATAATAATTTCATATAGAAAGATGGTTATATGTATTAATGAAATTTATAATTTTTTTATGTTATTAGCGTTTTATGTATGCTGTTGCATGTAATACAAATTTAGCGGCAGAGAAGCAGGTGCCTTTGAGATCTTTAAGCTAGTCGTAATAGCTGATCTGTCATACATATACAAAAGACTTGAGAAACACTTTCTGTTGCTGTATTGCAAAAAAAGTTAAACATCGAAAACGCCTTATTATCATATACATTAGATAATAAAACGCTGAAAGATATCCGTAGAACAGATAATAGTATATAGTAATTTTTTTAATATCATATTATTGTTGAAGAGACGTAAACTCTGTTTATCGTAATACAGCAATCTCTAACTGATAATAAAGTTAAGACGAAAAAATTTTTTATAATAATATTGAGAATGTTTGAAAATCAGTAATTATTATTAATTACTTAGAAATTCGTCTTTTGTTGCGCATATAAAATCAAATTTTCAATTAATATTTCACAGCAAGACACACTCATGCCTGCCAACATATTTCTCAAGATATTTCTTTCATAGTCATTTTGCTTCTGGAGAATCATGGACAATAACATTATGTTATCAAAGAACCAGCGTATATGTAATATCATTTATCAAGGATAAAAATGGAAAAAATGCAGGATCCTCTCCTTCCTCCTACTTACAAGTTATGTCCTTTTATTAAATTGTTATTGTAATATATTTTGTACTGTCTAATTTCTAAAGATTGAAATTGATTAATTATTTATGCTAGTACATAGATTTTTTATGTAACTTCCAGAGACAGTTTAGCAAACTATTTCATCTTTTATTATTAATGTTGATACGTATATATCATAGACTTATCATTAAATATAGTAGTTCATGAAAATGATAATCATTTTCTGCAGATTGACATATGTAATTAAAATCATAAATATATTACGATAAATCCATGATATATACATAAATATTGTACACATATATATACAAATCTCCATAAGTTATAAGTGTATCTATATGAAATGACATATAATTGATTTATTTCTCCTCTTGTAACTTACAATTTGTAATGTTGCTCTATGTATATATTTTGTTGTAAAGTACAAAAGTAAAATATAAGTAAGGAAACGTTCGACTATGTATTAGCAAAATAATTGATCGAGTTTAAGGAATTGTATAAAGAATTGTACTTTATTAGTGGAAATTTGTACATTTTGTTGTTTATTATTTGATAATGATTATAGGTATACATAATTGATCGTACATTGTATTTAGCAAGCAAATGTATTAATTTAAAAATGTAATTAATAAATCTATTTCTAGCAAATATTTCACATTTTACGGATGTAACAAATATAATGCTCACTCATTATTGCAAACAAAAATCTCTATAAATCTTTATAAATTAGTATATTTAAATTTCTTCAAATTGAACTCTATTTAAGTGTGAATAATCGATATGTTGCGTAAAATTCGATTATTCTAATTTTTGTTTGGCAACTTCAACGAGAATAATAGAGAGGCGATTCAACTTGAATTTTATTTTTGTTACTTTCCAATCTCTAAATTTAGCAAAATCTATCGTTAATTCATAAGTATAAAGGAAAAATTGGAAAACTATCCAAAGAAGCGTTTACTTGTCATTAAATGCTCCAGAAAATATAATAAATACATTATATACATCGACAACATATATCAAAACAATTTATATTAATGCTTACAATTTCTAAAAATTGTCACTCTTCATATTATACATTAATTGTTAAAATTATACGTTTAGAAATAGAAATTACTTTATTTTTTTAAATCCTCATTAGAAGCTTTGCTTGCTGTAATTAGTTTTTCTTTTTCTTTTTTTTTCATTTTAGTTCATGCAATGATTTCTTTTGCAGGATTAAAAGTGCTATTAGTTTGAGTATTGCAAATATAACTACTTTTTTTACATTGTTTCAAAGCACATTTTTCACAAAAATAAATATGCTTACATCTAAAGTAAAATAAATAAATAGATTAGTTTCTTTTAGATATTAAAATTATTAAACTAATATTACTATTATATTAATATAACAATAATAAGTTATTAATACATACTTTGTGACAACTGGATCCATAAAACTGTTTTTGCAGATAAAGCATTTAAATGGCAAGTTTTCCTCATTATTGTAAATCTCATATTTTTTATCATCTTTATCTCCACTCTTATTACATTCTCCAGTAAAAAAGTAAATAAAGGCAACATTATTAATTTTATCTTTCTAGATAAAATCAATTTTAAATTTAATTAATATATTTAATGAATAAATGATTTCACATATACATTTACGTTTTGAGCTTTTTCAAATAATGCTTGTGCATCTCTATCTTTTTCTGTTTCTGTTTGAAGAATAGCTGTTGCTCCTTGGTCATTCGGACTAGCTGGTAAAGCTATTTGGAGACTTGCCTTGGCCTTATTAAAGGTCTATCTACTAATTTTATTGGGGATGTTGTTACTAGATATTAAATAAACAAAAATTTATTAGACTTATAAAAATTGATCAGACTTAAACGTCTTATTCTAAATTTATCTAAAATTTAAGAACTATATAATTTAATAATATAATTTAACTAAGAGAGAGAAAATTATATATTAATTTTGTAACACTTTGTATAAAAAATACTCACTTTGAATTATAGGATTATCGCTGCTATCTATGTAAAAAATGGTACAAACATTTATTTACATGTTTACTTAGACATAACCTAAAATTCTTTTATTTAACCAAACTTAATAGACATGTGATGTCTATAATTAGTCTACGCTGAAATCGATTATTTATTATAACTCACCACTATTCGCTTCTTCGCGCCTTTTCGTAGCATTGCTACGAATTTGACGTTTTTTAAATAAAGGTACCATTTTCTATATCGTTAGCTCGGCGCTTCGGCTAGCTTCGGATACGGATTCTGTCCTCTTCTACCATCCGAAGCTAGCCGAAGCGCCGAGCTCACACGTACGCTTACGCTCACATGTCCGTTACCCCCTCCACGTGTTGCATGTGCTTGCGTCGCGGATCTGGCAGCTCTGCTTGTGTCGCGGATCTGACAGCGCTGGTAGCTCTGGTAGGAAGACTCCGCACTCCGCATAAGAGTCTGGTATCGTCAGGAAAAACATGAAGGACCCGCGGTGAGGAGGATACGTTGACACACGCGACATCGCGTACCTAGACGCTCATCGCCGTCCACGTCGCCCTCGCTTCGCTTCCGCCTCGAGTCGCGCGGGTGCCTTGCGTTTTGTTTACGATAAGCGCGGGGCAGAAGCCCTCTCCTGGAAGAGGCCCTTTCGGGGCGCGCGGATCTCCTCGACGGCGGGTCGTCGTCGTCGGCGGCGGTTCTCCCCAGGTGCACGCGTCATCGCGCGACCCGCGGAGTAAAGTGGCGAGACGCATTCGCGAGGGGGGGGGAAGGGAAAAAGGAAGACACTCGGTGCGCGCGGAGACCCGGAGAGAGAGACTGGAGAGATAAAGTGTCGCCGGACTTCGGCCCGGTGAGAAGACCAGTAGAGATGCTGAAGCAATTGCAGATGGGAATGAGAGCTTTCCTCTTAATGGCCTCCCGCGTGTGGACCTGCATCTGCTTTCTACTCAAGAAGCAGGTTAGAGCCGTAAGTAGGTGCTTCGCGCCTTCTTCCGGAGCCGGACATGTCATCGCGAATACGCCGCTCTCGTTTACGAGAGCTTCCCGCTCGCTTCTCTTTTATTTTTCCAGCGATATAGATATACGTTGACTTTGTTATGGATGCGACGCTCGCTCGGGTGATAATGACAATTACCCGCGTTTCTGGAATAATTAGCTAAACTTTTTTGTAAGAAACTTAGTGAAGTTTAGTGAAGCTAGCATTAAGAATATTATCATGTTTCCTTCTTCGTTAACTTTACGCAAGACTATATGTAGCAAAGATACTTTTCTATTTGTAAGATTCAGAGTTTTACTCTTCCTTCTTCTTCAAACCGATTTTTGTATCATAACAAAATTTCTTAATAATGTATTAAGTGTATTTTATTAATACATTTAATATTAATTTGTATTTTGGATATACATATTGTATTTCATATCACTCGTGCCTACTTGAAAGATAAATAAGTTAAAGGTCTAAGTAGTTACTTAATATGTTGCCGTTTATAATCTATATTTCAATTATAATGTGATGTAAATAATACATCTATTCACTTTTAATTTCTTCCAATCACATATCTAATCACGCAGCATATCATACTGTGTAATGTATTTACTAAATTGTTCTCTGAATTGTAAAAATATAAAAGTATCTTGTTATTTTGTAATAAATATCGATATATTTTTGAAATCTCTTCTTTTGTAAAAGCAATTTTAGCTACTGGCACTTTGCATCTACAATATTTATATTTTTTACAAATCTACAATATATAAATTGAGTGTTTATTGTTTTGTTTTAGATCTCGCAGATGCAACCAGTCAAATATGAAATCTTCCCACTTTCACCTTTATCTAGGCACAGACTTAGTAGGTATCACAATGATGTGCAAATTTTTACTTGTTACATTGCAATTAATATTCTTAATATTTGTGTGTGTAATACGAGAATGTTTCAGGTATAGTTAAAAGAAAAGTATTAGTATTGGATTTAGACGAAACATTAATTCATTCTCATCACGATGGAGTGGCAAGGCCGACTGTCAGGCCTGGTACCCCTCCTGATTTTGTTCTTAAGGTTACAATAGACAGACATCCTGTTAGATTTTTTGTTCACAAAAGACCACACGTAGATTTCTTCTTGGACATAGTTAGTCAGTGGTAAGTATTATTGTATAAAAAAGGAAGATTGCTTAAGTATTTTATTGAAATTTTTTTTTGTTTTGAAATCTCTGCACTTAAACTTTGTACTTCTTGTGCATTATCAAAGATCGCATCAATTATTTTCTTTTAAGTTTGTACATCATTGTTATGCTTATAGGTACGAGCTTGTAGTCTTCACTGCATCCATGGAAATTTATGGGGCAGCAGTCGCAGATAAACTAGATAACAACAGAGGTATCTTAAGGCGCAGATATTATAGGCAACATTGTACACCTGAAATGGGTTCCTATACCAAAGATCTGTCAGCAATCTGCTCAGATCTCTCTTCAGTCTTTATTCTTGATAATAGTCCAGGGGCTTACAGAGCCTATCCACGTAAGTATATATAATTTTAATCGTTTTTTCTGTGCTGAAACATAATGTATTAAAGAAAACAAAAAGAGTCAAGAACAGTAAACATATTTTTTTTATTCTCTCTCCAAATTGAACATAAAATTTTACATTCTTCTGTTTTTTGAAAAATGTGATATGTGTGCTAATAATTTATTTATAAATCTATCGAAAAACAATCATATGTAATTGAGACACAAACGATTATTGAATTGCATCTTTAATCAATCTCGATTTATAGGAAAGCAATGCACGTGAGAGAGATAACTATATTTTGATTTTGAACATCTTGCATATCTATTATTTCTTTTTCTTTATGTCATAGATAATGCGATACCTATAAAATCATGGTTCAGCGATGCGGGAGATACTGCTTTATTAAGCTTACTTCCGGTCTTGGACGCTCTTCGTTTCACGCAGGATGTACGATCTGTTCTATCAAGGAATTTACATTTACATCATACATGGTAGCATAGCTGAGATTAAACGATACACTAGGTATTTTAGAAATGAAGCTGTTAACAGTTTCAGTTAGTGTGTCTAGCTTAGAATTATTATTGTTATTGATAATAGCAACATTAGATCGCTGCCCGTATAATGAGACAATGAGAAAACCCTCTTCTTCAATTCTTGTTTTTTTATATTCTCAACAAACAGCGACGAGTAAATACTGAAGGGAGGTGATGAATACAGCCAATAATTATGTCGGCACAAAACATCTTAGGATAATTCTTTATGTTGTACAGTCCTTATGTGTGCAAAATCGTGAAACAAATCTTTTTTTTATTTTCTCTGTTATGTAAACCTTTGCCAAAGACCGAAAGATACGAAAATAGATAGGACTGCTAGCCAGCAGGATTTTTCGTTTTAGGTAAGGATTACTTAAAGTTTTTATTTATATGTGTATTCTGGCAGCACACACACACACACACACACACACACACACACACACACACACACACACACACACACACACACACACACACACATACATGAAAGAAAGAAGAAAAAAATATCGAAATGAAGTACTTTGATTATTGTATATTATTCATCTAGGATGTATAGAGAGAAAGAGAGAAAGATAAATATATACTAAGTCAAACGGATTCTGCTGTCACTCACTGTATCAGTGAGGCAGTTGTCCTGGTTATCTATAATAAGAAGTATTAATATAAAACCAGGAAAAAAAAATCACATCTGTTCTCATCAAAACTTTCTTGAAATGAAATATTACTATTATGATCTATAATGTTGATTACATTGTTTGTGTTGGTAAGCGTTTTAACAAGGGAGTTTATGACATTCACGATTCACTAATTTTGATGTTTTTTTATATGACGTAATAATTGCAACTACTATTCTATAAGCAAAAAGGCTTCTTAAAAATTCTAAGAAAATTTGACTATAAAAACATTCATACATAATTATATAGTGTTTGAGCCTTTTCATTGACTATCATAAAGTGCTGTAAAGTTGACTTAATAACTGTAACAATAAAATAGTAAAATTGTAAGCAAATTATTCTATAATCTTCTCTTGATAGCATTTTAATGCAAATACGATTATTCGTTCAAGAAAACATCTTTTATAAAATAATCAAATGTTACATCAATCTTATATAAAAGGGAGTGCAATATATAACATTTTTTTAAATTGTATATATATTTAAATTTGTATTATTTTATAATAAAAATTTAATTATAATAAACTCATTGTATGTAAACTATGTATATGATTACATCATATTCTTATAATATATTTATTATAGTATATTATTTATAGTATATTATATACTTGCTATGTAAAATATACATATATATACATATATACATGTGATACTATAATATTGCACTATATCATTTCTCTTAATTTTTGATATTCAAAATTATGCAACAAAGAGATAAAAAATCTTACAATTTAAAAACTTATAGTATTGAGTTGTTACAGTTATGTTCGGTAAATATGTTTGTATATATTTTATTGAAATTTTTTGGTCAAATTTTATTATAATATTTAAGAAGAAAGAAATGCGCTTTTTTCCTATTTATAAATTGCATAATTTAATTGCTTTGTGCTCGCAAAGAGAAGAAGGGTCGATGAATCGCATGTCACAAACTCTCTTTATACATGAGATAATAGCAAGATAATAAACCTACAACGTAACACACACATACACGCCTGTGTATTTTGTTCGCTCATTTAATCGTATAATAGGAATATCTGACATTATACAATTTGTACATATTACTCGGAATGTATTTAATGCGCGACTGATTTTTGTATGAATGATCGATATATATATATATATATATATATATATATATATATATATATATATATAAGTTATAAAATATTACATCTGAAAAATATTTACACATATGTACATATATATATACATGCATACATATGCATTTATATATAAATGTAAAATCGATTTATTCATACACTCTTTCGAAAAAGGAATAATGTGCCCATGCGTATAAGATTTAATAACATTAATCACTTTCCAATAAAATTTCTTTATTTAAGTATTTATCGTATTGTATTATAGAATTGCTTTTTCTGTTGTATATAACAATTAATCATTCTTTCCATGATACCATCCATGGGTAATGCATATAATATATTCTAAATGGAAATAATGTTATAAAATCTATTTATTATCAATAAAATTATATCTGGATACGTACATATATACGCGCGTATCTATAATTTTGTGACGCAGATATGGACAAATATTATAATGTAAAAATACACGAATTTTTCAGTTTATAATGTTAATGACACAAAATTTCTTTCTATCTTTGATACAAAATTTATGAGATTCTTTAATACGATACTTTATATTATGACTTTCCAGTTTAACTAGAGATTAAAAACATTGATATTTATATAAAATATTTAGCAGTTAATTTTACAATCTTATTTCCATGTGAATTATGATTAGTCTTTACATGAAATAATCTGATTCTTACAAATCTACAAAAAAGTTTCTTACATATTACGTAAATATTTATGCAATATACGCATTAATTATCATAAATTTTGCAGTTATAAAATCGAAATTATTCTTTCTATATAATCTAATTTAAAAACCTTACAAAAATCATTAAATTTTTAACTCTATATATTTTGTATCTTATATATGTACAGTAATAATATTAAGTATCGAAACAAGAAATTATAAACAATTGTTTTAATTTTGGACATATTTTATAGAGAACATATTTTATTAAAGTAAGGAAACACATTATTATTCATTCATTCAATATATTTAGTCAACTAATTTATTCATGATCTTAGTCTAACAAAGGTAACAATTAATATATAAAATTATTTTGTTTTTGTCATGAATCTTCAAAGATGTTCTTTGTATAATGATTAATATTAAAATATTCATAAAAATCATAAATTTCCTTAAAAATATACATTTACAGCTATCAGTAAAATGTTAAAAAAAGAAAGGATTCTTCCTAATTCTGAACAGTTTTTATTTAAAACCCTACATAGTTCTATTTATGTAAAAATAATGTACCTTTGATTTTTAAATATCTTTAATAATAAATTGAAAGCGGATATTCTTTAATATTAAACAATTTGAAAAAACATTTTGAATAATATTGAATATAATATTGAATATAATATTGGAAAACCACCATCCATTTCAACATATACCGAATACATCATATATTGAAAAATATCTGATTACAATATGTATATATATATATAAAATTCCTAAATTTATTCTTTAGGTGGGTCTTCTCGAATCATTTCCAAAGAACTATCTGAATTGTTAGTACTACTTCCACTTCCAGCATCATCCTCTCGTTCAGTTGCTTTTTCTTGACTTACATTTGTTGTATCTAACTGCCATGGTGGAATAGAAGCAGGGGCACTAGGAAACTGTTTCCTAATTTAAACATATTGAAAATTAAAAATAGATAATAGACATACAATTATAAATGATAAATCTGTGAAAATTTGAAATTACAATTAACTTTCTCATGTATTACATACGTGAATATGAAAAGATATATGTATGTATATAATCAGAAAACTTTACAATAAAAGATTCAAGAGCGTGAATGGTCAAAAATAGGAGTAAGATAAGGAAAAGCACAAATTTATATTTTAAAGTTGTATTTTGTAAAATCATATAAAATTCTTGTTTAAAAAATCATCCAAACACAAGTATCAATTTTTTAAACAATTTTGAATAAAATTGTATATGTACGAATGTGTGAAGTGCAAGATTGTAACTATGGTTGATCTCTTGTAAAAAGAATAATTTGCTTAATATAAGCAAATATTACATACAAGAATAAAATGGGAAATAATGTTTAAACGAAATAATCTCATTGTATGGCAATAAATTGCTATTACTGACTTTTATGCATTATTATCTATGATGTACAGATTGTCCTATTTTAAATCATAATGTGAATATCTCTCCTTAAAATCATTTATGATATCAAAAAAATACCTCAGATAAAAATTAAATAGTTTTAAATGATCAAAATCCAAAATATGTAGATCAATAAGTGTATCTATTAATAATATCATATTAAAGGACTACTGATATAAAATAAAATGCTAATACAAATTATGTTCAGTAATAACAGTTATACTGACTAACTGATTTGCCCTTTTAATAAAAGTAAATTTATCTTATAAATTTATTTTATCAATAAATATATGAAAAAGATATTAATCCTCGAATATTTTGCTATAAATAAAAGTATTCAAGGATAAAATTAAAATTAACAATACAAACAAAACTATGATATTATGTTTCCCTATTTAAAATGGGACATTCTATATATTAATGTAAGAAACTATGTATAAATAAAAAAAGAAATTGGATATACCTTGACAAAAGTAAAGCTTTTAGACTAGACAAATCATGCTTCAATTCATGCACCAATTGTGGAATAGTAGGATCCAATGCTTGATGCTGAGTCAGCTTTTGCACATCATTTTCCATTTTTAAAATAGAATCTTTTACTTCTTTCATAGTATCTTGAACAGTTTTATCTAATTCAATTATCCTGTCTTCCACATTACTTTTCTTTTTTCGACCAAATAAAAAGGGTTCTATAAATTTCTGCAAAATTAGAAATCACATTATTTTATTAATGTAAAACAAATGAAAATTATTAGTCTATTTTTATTTGCATATTGAAATCCAAGAATGATCAACGAAAGCATAAAATTATTAACAATTTCTCACAATATCTTATATAAGAGCTGTTATATTAATTTCTTTGTATTGTTCAAAATACCTTATAAAGCCAATAGACAAAATACACTGTCGCGCCAATTAATGCAGTTGTATTAAAGATATCTCTGACTTTTTGCAAAAATGTCGATTGGTAAATGCTTGTCTGATGATATGGATAAATAGGTCCTTGCGACATTTGTACAGCAGTGTATGGATTCTGATTCTGCAAAGCATTGCGATCCACTGTATTGTCAACAGATGCTAGCTTGAAAGCTGTTTTGATTTCTTCATCCGTCAAGCCTTTTCTCCTAAGAAATTCTTGTTTTTGCATCAATGGACTCAATGACACTTTGGGATTTTGCAGAAACTGTACTGCCGTCTTCACCTTTAATATGTGAATTTATATTAAAATGAAGCAATGAGTGGAACTTTACTTTACTATACATGCGCATGAATAATCTATTACAATTAAATAAATTTAATTCTACAAATTACTGATATGTAAAGTAATTTTTTTACGTTTATGTAACTTGTGATTAAATGATCTCTACGATTAACTTACTAGACTTTCCCGTAACGGAAGAGAATTATTATTTGTATCTTGATCAGTCATTTTGACTAGTCTTTAATCGCGTTCAACTTTTATTATATATCAATTAAAATGACATTACTTAGCAAAGTCCTACATAACTAAATTGCAAATCACATTTTTTTCCTAAATAAACAATCCTAACGCTTGCGACTATGCGCAAGAATGATTAAATATAATGAAGAAGACGCTATCTAGATTCATTCTCGCTTTTCCGAATTTATGCTTTGTGATTGTCAATAATGCAGAGCGCGTGCTATTATAGGATATAGGATTTATACTTATATTTATTTATATTTTTATTATTTATATTTATATAGGATTTTTATAAAAAGAAAGTGACCCTCAGTCTTGACCTCCTAATAATTTGAGAATAAACTCATACAGCACAGAAACTCGCAGCAACATTGTAGCAATGTTGTTGCAAGCTTTTGTATTGTATGAATATATCTTCTATTTCTCTTTCTCTCTCTGTTATATAATATTACAAATTAATCATTAGAGAAAAGGAGACTTCAATAATTTAAACATTTTTTAAAAATGCACCTGAGAAGATAAATGAAAAGGTATTCCCAAGTATATTTCTGCAAAAAGAAAGAACTCTATGATCTTAGAACGAGGAAATGCCATAACATCCAAGGATACAAAAAAAAAAGAATGTTGGGCAGAAAGAAATGTAGCTTTAAGGCCGCAGCACACACTTTTGCATAAGCGCATAATCAGAAGCATAAGGAAATTAATTGGTCCCCAAGTATATGCATAAGAAAATGAACCAATCAATTTTTTTATGCTTATAGTTATGCGCTTATGCAAAAGTGTGTGCTGCGGCCTTTATTTCGAGAATAAAATTGGAACGTAATCATCCGATTTAAAAAAAAAATCGAAAAAAAACAAAATGCTACCACCATGCCATCTTTCGAAGACTTGCCGAACTCTTTAGCGTCACAATCGTATCAACCCGAAAATCCAGTATGGCGTTTATTGCAGAAGCAGCTGCTTACGTTATTTGAAAATACGACTCTCCGTGACTGATACGATTAACCGGAAAGTGGTGAAAACTATACGCTTACGTTAAACTACTAATTTACTCGAGCCCCTCGTGTCCTAATCTCAACAATTATTATCAGCGGTATGACGGATCGAACCGAGCTGAGGATGAACGTGGCTGCGTTAAAACGAGTCGACCCGTACGTCAAGGATATCCTCGAGACGGCGACCCATGTCGCTTTATATACATTCAATGGAGATGAGAACGAATGGGAAAAGACCGACATCGAGGGCGCTCTATTTCTCTACTCAAGAAACGGCGAGCCATACAACAGTATTCTCATAATGAACAGGTAGTATACATCTTTCCATGACGAGGTAATTTTGTATATAACTCAAACGGTTACTCTCGAAAGATTCGCAAAGTATTTTAATCCAAGTTCTACCTTTCTTGCACTTATGTTTCCATTCATAGCGTTGATAATATACATAATCATATGTCAAAAAAAAAATGAAATCTATTGCAGATTAAATACGAACAATTTAGTAGAACCAGTTGCTCCGGGTTTGGATTTACAACTGCAAGAGCCATTTCTGTTGTATAGAAATTCCAGATGCAATATCTATGGCATTTGGTTTTATGAAAAAGAAGAGTGCGTTCGTATTGCAAACATGTTGAATAAACTCTTAAAGGAATGCGAAGAAAGTCGCAAGATCAATAGCAAGCCACAAAATAAAATTAAAAAAGTATCGGGACCCAGCGTAAACAATGTGGATATATTCAGCATGCTCAGCAAGGCGCAAGAAGATTTTAACACAAGCAGAGTCAGTGGAAGTGGCGGAGGCGGTGGTGGCGACAACAGTAACACAATAATCGGATCAAAGTCTCCATTGGTTACACCTACGACTGACAATATTTCTGGTTCATTATCTGCTCCCTTAGGACCTGACGTCACTTCACAAAGTGTAATGGATTTTTTTGCTAAGGCTAAGGTTAGTAATATCATATCTTATACTTTTAGAGCAAAATGTATATTTGATTCTTCATTCATTCATTGTATATTGTCGACCAGGTGAACACTGGGCAATTCAAGCCAGGTGATCAACCTACTTCGGGAGGAACTGTCGCAGTCGAGTCGAATAAACCTCTACTTGCGCGTTTAATGTCCTATCCAGCAGCGCACACTTTGGAACATATTGAAAAACATATTGAGAAACAGAGATCTATAACACCGCAACCTGGTACTCATCAGTTGCAATTGACGACAATTCCTACAGTGAATAGATCCAAAAGACGGAACAAACCGATTTCCCAACAAGAATCGATAATGTCCACATCAGCGCCGATCTCGCAAGATCTGCCACTACCCATAACTCAGAACGTTAACGATTCGAATGGAACCACTGGATTCCTCAGGATACAATCCCCAACCAACACACCGACATCTTCTACTTTAAGAAATCATCAAGTTTCAAACATTACCAATACCAATAATACTAATCCGCTTGCATCATTATTTGCTCACGCTTCTGGAAGCACAGTAAGAAAAGTTAAAAAAATTCATCTATTTTAAATTTATTAAATATGTACATATTTTAGTTCTTATTTTTCTTTGATTTAGTCATCGGACGACATTATTCCGGCAGCGCCTACGTTGTCAGGAAGAGGATCAGCGCCAGCGTTAATACCTCCTGTAATGTTTGCCGCTCCCAGTCCACCCGAGCCCTTAAACAGACCATTAGAACCATTGACAAGGAATCAACTTTTACAGGCATTCAATTATCTATTAAAAAGCGATCCGGATTTTATCAACAAACTTCACGAGGCCTACGTCAAATCATTCGGAGAGATACTCTCCTAAAATCATCACATTTATTATTGTAATATTATCCCGGAAAAACCCATGTCGTATGGGTTGTGACTGATAAAACAAGTAAACTAAATCTCGATATCTCTATGTTACATGTGCATGTACATATGTAGACAAGACGCGTAATTTCACGCTCAAAATTCAATTGACCTGAGAAGATGAAAACCACTTCTTTTAAAGAAAGAGAATATTCATTTTCTGGCCAAGGATCAGAAAAAAAAATACAGAAATAGAAAGCAAAGTATAATACCTTGAACAGTATTTTTATAAAGCAATGAACCTTTTTCGAAACAGAATAAAAAAATAATGACTCGCAAGAAGAAACATGTAATGAATGAGAAATTTATGAGGCAAATTGAATATGATATATACGAGAAAAGTAATGAACGGTTTTTAAACTGTGATGCCAAAATGTTTCTATTATATGCGCGTCTTTTATGGGATTAAAATCACACGATTCCATATTCTGAGTTGTTAAACGAGGAATAATACTTATTTTATAGAGTAATGACGTATCCTTCCTATATACTGAATACCGATATGGTATGTATATGTTATCAATGAAAAGGAACAAATAAATAGAGAAACAAACCATAACGCATTGAGAAGACGCTTTAAAATACACTTTACTTTGATTTTTTTTGTTCATGTCTCACAAGTAACACAATGTAAAATAAAGTCTAGACAGATCTCTGTGTATTTATTTAGTCATTATTACGTCGTATTATATATCACAATATAATATTTATACGGAATACGCTTAAAAATATACATATAATTAAGTTCTTAAAGTCTACGCTCTTTCACAAATTTAATGGCTGTGACTGAAGTCGCAACGGCACAACAAAATTATATCAATTACAAATTTATTTTCCGTTACGAGATTTGTGAAATATATAATTTCTCCTTAGTTTACTCGAAGGGTATTGTTTGTAAATAAAAATGATGTATAATAATAATATTATTTTTAGGGAACAAGAATTCACGATGATTGCAACGTTAACAGATCGCATTTACGCGAATTACATCGTAATTTAAGCAACATCGTCAAATTCAATATGATAAAAAATACATAAAGTGTACATATATCTATATTTACAATTTTACAACGATACAGAGACTGTAGACATACTGTATTGTCGTAACGTCATGTTTAGAGGGTTTCAAGTCTCGGACCCCTCGTTTCTCACTCTTCGCCGCCGCGACGGACGTTTCGAGGAAATGCAACAAGTAAAATACGTACTAATTGTTACGATATAATTTACAATAGTTGCTTTCTTCGTAAAATTCACAGCCGAATGGAGCCTCCAACGGCCCGCTAGCTTTCTAGGTAGCCTAGGCTGGACGCTTAGTATATGACTCCGGCATATCTCTCTCTATAAAATCTCGCAGAAATCTGCATACTTGTATATTGAACACACACATATATGCTATAAAATATGCTATAAAAAATCGATGGAATTGAAGCAAAGTTAAATATTGGAATAAGATTACTATTTATATATTGTAAAGTAATTTTATCCAGAACTTATAAAGATTCTAATGCGTAGCATTTCTTTGCTACGCAAATATATGGCACAATTCCGATTGTCCGTGAGTCATATATTAAAGTCAGCTCTACTAATTAAACTATCATTTCGAACACCTTCATCGAAAAACTTGTCTTTGGATCGCGTGGGATTTCTTAAACCAGAGGCACTTTCGGTAGTCCAAGCAAGGGCGGTCCGTTATCGGATGTTCTACACGGCACGAACTTGTTTGTATTTTGCGGCGGTATGGGATGCAGCCATCTGACAGCTAGGCTGGCGATGATCAGCAGGACGATGAATCCGCAGATGGCCACGACGATCGCGCTCGGAAACCAACGAACCGTCGTCTGACCTCCATCCTGACCCTTCGGATACAAAGCAGCCAAGTATGGTCGCTGATTGCTCATCGCTGCAACGATATCATCAACAACGAAAATTAGACATCGAGAAGCACAAGATGAAAAAAAAACATATGTTTAATTCGATTAATAATGTGCGAAAATGCGAAGCAAGATTCTAATCGCACGTGATGATACCTAAATATCGAACGAATCAAGATGTTATATTGCAATGATTGAAACATGATAGATGCGGTGACCGGAATGTTGGAGAACAGGAAACGCAAAGAGAGAGGAAAAAATTGTCGAACCTTCTCTTAGAATCTTGTCGAGTATGTTTTTCATTGCAGGACTGTCCTCGTGATTGCAGAGATCCTTGTCGCAGCAGAAAGAATTTTCGGGGCAGTCTGGTTTTTGGTACGTATCGTTTAGGCAATCGCTGTCAAATCCCGCTCTCAAAAGCGGCAAGTCTACGCTCCTCGGTAACTTCGTGACACATCTTACACCGCGACACATGTACGATTGGGGAACGCATATCGGTTTATTGCAGTAACATCTCACTTCTCCGACTTTAGAAGAGTCTGAAAGAAAAAATGGGACTGATACAGTAATTCTGCAATGAAATACTTTTCAAATCGAATGTTGAATGGAATAATTGATATATGAAAATATACAAATATTTGCATGTGCAAAATATGAAATTATGAGCATATAAAATTTTTCAAACATTTCAATTGTTCCAGTTCAAATAATTTTACAAGTATATTATATTATAAAAAAAATGATATATATTAGAGATTAAACTCCAATTATTTTCTGATACATTGAAATATACATTTGACGCTTTCTAATTTCGTCAAGCTTAGTAATTCTATTGTATCATATTGTCGCTGTCATTCTATGATTTGTCATCATTTTCTTTTTAACGAACAATACGAGTGATTTAGTTGTCAGTCGGAAAGTCGACAGAGACAAAGGACCTGAACCGTCTGATCTCTCTTGAAGCGCACATAAATCGTTCGAGGAGTCTTGTCTTTATCGAGATTTCGAGCGAGGAGTCCGACTGCGCGCGAGAAAAATTTTATATCCGAGCGTGAGTGCACGCAACGAGGGTGGCCGCATCCCCGACTGACGCGACTGTGCGTTAATGAGAACCGTACGGGATGAACAAAGAGGAAGAAGGACGAAGAAGCGAGAGAGAGAAAGAGACAGACGAGATACGTTTATTATGATATTGCGAGCATGCTCGGCTTCGTTTGCCCCAACCCCCGGGTCCAACCATCTTGCCGATTCCCCCTCGCGCCTCTCCGCGTCTTTCCCCACCGGTTTCTTGCTAATAAGCCCGCAGCGATGTGTCTTGCTGCCTGCCTCCGTCTCTCTTCTCATTCTCCGGCTCTCCCTTCGCCGGCCCTTCCCCCCCGTTCGGCCTGTCGGGGTCCACCAGCTCATCGGGGAATAAAAAACGCTAAAACAGTCGAGTCACAAAAGAAAGATTAAAGTGGAGAGGATATATGGGGAGAGGCATGCGGCGCTGCCTCGTCTGAGAGTATCTCGTCCTCCCTTCCTTCTTTCTCGGAGCAACTCTGTGCTAAATAACGCGCGAGACAAAGAATAGGGCCACTTGAGACGATATCATCGCGACGATTACGTATTTCGCGAATTGGAAAATTACACGTAGACTGTGAGGTCGCAAGATATAGTCTCGGTTTCTCGGAACGTCGTCCTGTTAAATGTGCATACTTCGATGATGAAACTTCGTTCGTTTCGACATTCCTTTCATCGAACCGAGAATTTTATTCGATACTTAGGTTTGGAATAAAAAAAAACGTCCATAATTTTTACGGGTAAAAATAATCAGGATGTCTACTTTTCTTAGAAAAACATGGAAATCTGGAAATCTTTTCAGGTATTTCTCTTCTATCTCGGAAAAATAAAGGAATTCTCAAGGAATTTTCATTAATTCATGGATTTTTTTAAAGAATTTTTTCTCTTTTTGCTCTTTTATTACAAGCAATCAATAAATTAATTATATATTTAAAATATATTATAAATATATATCTATTTATATATGTATATTCAATGTCTTTACAAAATATTGAATACGTAATATATGTTCTTTATTGTTATTTTAGTGATAAAAAGAATGAAAATGTTATAAAAATAAAAAATATTTAGCTTACAAAAGTTATTCGCAGTACATTTGCAAATCTAACATTTGAAACTTAAGTGGCTGTTAAAATGTGTTTTATCTTCGTATAAATGTAAAACATTAGAAAACACATATAATAAAAAACTTATTTTAATACCAAAGAATTTTTAAAATATTCTCTTTATTTGAAATTTTAAATAAAATTATCTGGAAAATTAAAGGATTTTTTTTACAAGATTTCAGTAGACATCCTGGTAATTCTTTTAGCTCAGATATCGCTAATTGTTATGTTGAATAGGCATATATTTTCGAAAAGAAAGCATATCGAGAGAAACTATTACCATAAAGTTGAGTCGAAATAAGAAACAGTAGCTTCCAAAAGGAGACTCCAAAGAAGAGGCACTCAGAAGACAATCCCATGTGTGCGTGCGCACGTGTTTAAAATAAAAAAAGAAAGAAAGGGAAGAAAGCAGCGGGAGGTCGAGGGGCCCGACTAAAGAGAGATACGACCGGCGAGCCTGAGGCCGGGGAATATCCGTCCGAAAACAAACAGACTGCATCGCAAAGTCGTTCGTTATGCGTCCACGGTATATTAATTATTCCACGGCCCGGCCTCGGCGAGCTACCCTCCCTTGGCTTTTTTATTACTTATATTTCTCTCTTCTCTCGTTTCTTCGATAGCGGGCCCCATCGACGAGATTGACGTACACGATAATCAACGAATACCGCGAACATTCCTGTCTCGATTATTGAAATTTTCAAATGTGACTTTTAATTTCCGCTGTCGTATCATTAGCAGAATAAATTATATTATATATATTATAATTATATAACTTTGAGCCCGCAAAAAATTAGCTTTATTCAAAAATATATAGAGAAATGCATCTTGAGCGTGTAAAATATTTTCTATTCAAAGATAACTCTATTGGCTCTTTTGATTTAAGCATAGAATCGATAAGTAAGATAGTCGACGATATTATCGTACGAAAAGAGAGAAACATTTCGAAGATAAAGGTGCGATTAGACTTCGAGAGCGAGGCTCGAGTCACCCGCCCGAGGATAGAAAGCTCTGACTGGACTTGATTCGAGCACCGTTTGTATGTACATGCAATTAGAAGAGCGGCGATCTATGCACAAGTACATATATGTAATAGGTATCTGAATCCAGGGCCGCTGTTAACGTAAAAGATATTTTGAATATTTGGATCAAAAATATCCACTTAAGAGAAGGAAATATAATTTTTCAAGCGTAAAAAAATTGCCATCGTAAAATCGGAAAGAGGAATAAAATATTTAAAGTCTTTGAATTATTGATGAGAACATTGCAAAAAATAATATAATACATTTAAAGAAATAATATTAATATTATTATTAATAATAATATATAATAGTATTAATATTGATAATAATAATCATAATAATAGATGATAATAATAATATGGAGCTTTTTTAAGATAACAAAATTATTTAAAAATTCTATCGACATTGAAGATAAAAACAAACTATTGTTTCTCAATATATGATTGAATCTTAAACAATTTGATATTATTTTTCAATTTTAAAAGAAATATCGTAGCCAGCAACGAATGAATGAAAACATTTGAATGTAATAATAAAGCCTTATAAGCTTGTTGGATTTATTATTGATAGCGGCCCTGTCTTCCAGACATAGACGCCAGTGTTTGCTACGCAGTGATGAAACTAACGAGCTTCCTCAAGTATATCCATATAATCCGCGAAAGCGGATTGCACAACGCTTTGCATAGGTACATTGCGAACTCTGTATTGAACCAAATGCGTTAGCGAACGCGCTTTTCTAATTAGCGCTACAGTCTGCGTAACAGTAATTAGCGTGAGAGCGAGAACAAATCACGTCTCTGTTTGACGCGGGAAAAATAAAAGAATGTTTCGAGTTTATGCGCGAGAGTCGCGGCAGAGTCGATTTCGAAATACTTGTTGGTCAAGTGACCAACAAGCCAGATCGTCAGATATTGCCAATGCGTTTCATTTTCTTGTCGCGTATTCGCGATGCGGCGAAGATATTCCATTAGGAATATTAAGGTAGCGGTGAGAATTATAAACGACTCGCGGATTGAAAAAGAAAGATCAGCTGGGACCGAGATTTACGTCCAACGAGACACCTGTTACCTACGAGCGGGTGGATTATGAACTCGCGGAGTTATGCGAAAAGGGAAAAAGAAAGGACGGACGGCTCATCAGGATCGAAAGACGAAAGGAATGGCCGAAAGAGCGCTGGCGATGAAGACCGGTCCGTTCATCGTTGTCGGCGGTTCGTGAGAAACTTTTGAAAAATTCTGCGTTTGCGATTCAAGTCTCGATGAAAATCGCGCACAATCATACAATCCATTCGATAATCTTATCGTGATTTTGAAAAAAATTTGATATTAAATTTTCACATAATTTGTATAAAAGAGAACAGATTTTTCTTACTGAAGCCATGCCAGAACTCATTAGCGATTGAATTAAATAATCAATCGTGTTAATTTGTGAGGAATAATATAGTAGGATTTTTCATTTTATAATTTTATGTATAGAATAATTATTTCCATTAATTTTCCCATCTATTGGCTTTTATTTTTATTTATTTTATATTTTCTACTTTTTATTATCATTATTATTTTACTATTTTTATTGTTACTATTATTATAATTATTATTATATATTGTAATTTTTAAATCAATTTTATTTAAAATTGTTACAAATCATTAATTGATATTTTCATATTATTCATTGTATATAATTATTTGTTGCAGGTGTTCAGAGAGAAGCAATCCTCACGAAATAAATATTCGTTACTGTCAACTTCACAAAAGAAGGCTGGAAAATCTGTCGGATTTGCGAAAATGTGCAAAGTAATGCCGCAGGAATCATCCCATAACCCATAAAAGAGTAACTTCCTATGTTTCTAAATCGTCTAAAAAAGAGGGAGACTAACAGGTAAAATATTTTCGCTATGCGGTAAACGAACCTCCCTTCGGGCAAGGAACGAGAGGGGCGTGAGACAATCCGAACGATCCGGCTTGCGGCCAATTTCCGTTTCACAAAGGTGCAGTACCGAAGGTGGTATTTGCGTTGAGACTTGTAACTATCGAGCCGAACTATTCGAACCATTATAAGAAAGGCGGAGAGGGGAGGGAGGTTTAAGATGGCCCGGGAAGCGGGTGGACGCCGTTCGGACGGTTACAGCGGAGTGGCAATTAGCAAGAACAATGGGGAGCCGTGGTCCTTGTTTCTGGGAAGTAGGCGGAGGGTCTTTCTCCAGGGGCCCCTGCTATTCTGTAGATTGAAGAGAGAGAAAAAGAAGGAGAGAGGGAAAGAGAGAGAGAAAAGAGGAGGTGCACCAGGTACACGTATCTAAGGCCCCGACCGAATATAGGGATCGGCGTAAGTATATACGCGGCTCCGACGTTT